ACGCCATGACTGTGGTGCAAAGTGCAACATTTGTTGCAATTTACTTGCAATCCAGCATTTGTATGCGCACTGACAGCGGGCCATAAGCCACTCGGACCACAAAAATAAAAAATATAACCAAGTAGAAGTAGAAGCTGCAGCTGAAGCAGAACATGAAAACCCCTTTTCAAAGTCACAAGTGAGATGTTTGGAGCTGGGCAACAATTGTAGCAATACCAACTTTTTATTTGCGACAGTTCTTTGGGGAATTGCGACAAACTAAAATGCTTCAAATGTGTTAAGAGAAGGGATATTATTATGTGGATGTATGCTTAAAGCATGCAACCCAAAGGGGACCTTCAATTTCATAAAAAAAAAAATGAAATACTATAGAAGACTAGAAGACTAAAAAGTTTGAAAATGCTACAAAAGTAGAAATTGTCTTACATAAAAAGCCATTTAAATATGTAATTATATAAAATATATATAAAATTTGATAGAATATTTTTAGTCCTAGCATAAAAATAGAAATATATCTAATATATTAAAAAAGAGCTTCAATATACGTTTTTTAAGTTATTTTATTTTCTTTGGGAATTTTTAAATTTCTTATTTACAAATTATACAAAATTCCCTTTAAAATTAGTTTAATTTATTAAATAAAATCTCAAGATATTTTATTTGTATAAATTCAATTTTTTAAGAATATTTCTACAAAAGATTATTACATTAATAAATTTTGTATATATGTATAATATATTATTTTATTGTTAATCTTCTTAAAAATTTGTGATTATTTAATATTTTATAAAATTTAAAAATAGAAAAATATAAACATAAAATAAAAAGTTTAAGTTTATATTTAAAGTATGCTTACAAAAATATTTAATTTTTTTGATTTATTTCTTTGTCTTTGCATCTTTAAATCGTAAAATGTTATATTTCAAATATAATTTAAATATTTGTGTGCAATTCATAGAGCATTTGTTAGTCAGTCATATTTTGTGTATACTAAGCACAAATCTAACAAATGCTTAGCGTAATTGTTCTTGAATCTGTTTTTTTTTTTGGCTGCGGCTCATGCGGCGTATGCGTAATGCTGTGTGAAGTGGCAAAAACTTGACTTTGCGGTTGTTGCTGATGTTTCTGCTGTTGCTGCTGTTGCTCTTGCTGTTGTTGCTGTTGTTGTTGTAGGTTGTATGTGACAGGCGTTAACTGACACTTGGGTGCCACGTTAATGTCGTTTAGCATGCTAAGGCCTTAAATGGCATTTATTTGCAGCGGAGCTGACGCGCTCTGCTATGTCCACACGCCCACACGCCCACTTACTCACACCCACATTGCCGCTAGTGTCGCAAATGTCGCTCAAGTTTCGGATACTGTCAAAGACGTGGCTGCTGCCCAACCACAGCTAAATACAATGACGTCTAATGGCATTGAAGAGGGCATTTGCCTATAGCTGGGGGAGTGCGATGAGTTGCCTAAAACAAGTGGATTTTATCAAAAGCCTACACGCTCTCACTCTCTCCCTCTCTCTCACTCGCTCTCTTTGCGTATGTGTGTGTGTGTTGTTAAAAAAGCAACAAATATGAAAAACACCACACAGATTATAGAAGCGAATGCCGTCTAATTTCGTGCTGCTTAGCTGCCCAAAAGCCACATTTTGTGGCTAATAACTACTATTAAAGCCATACAGCTAGCAGAGTTCCATGATGTACATTTGTATGTATGTGTGTATGTGTGTATGTGTGTGAGGTGTAGTCGAATGGATGGATGGGCTTGTTGAGTAGGGTCTGCTATCTAATTACAATTCAGTAGAAGCAACTTTTATTCATTTGTCCAGCGTCACATTTTGTATGCTGCTTCTCTGTTTGCTAATAGTCTGCTATGTCTATCTCGCTCTACACCTTAACTGCCGACCGCTCTCTCTGTCTCATTCACTCTCTCTCTCTCTCTCTCTCGCTCTCGCTGTATGTGTGTAGTCAATTTTCTAGCGTGAAAACTGCTGCGGGCGCGATAGAGCTTTATATATCTACCTAGCTCAGCGGCTGACGCTTTCGCTATCCCTCCCTCTCTCTCTCTCTCGCTCTCTGTCTATCTCTCGCTAGCACTGTCTTTGGCTTCTGTTCGCCTGTTGCTAACCTAATCAAATGAAGTTGTGTCCTGTTTGTTTGTTTATTTTGTCTCAGCTTGTCACGAGCATGGCGAATGAGTGTGTGTGTGTGTGTATGTGTGTGCAATGGTTGTTAATTTTGTTGCGTGTGTGTGTGTGGTACTACAACAACAATAGCAGCAACAGCACTTGATTTCATGCACAAACAACACGTAATTCACATTCTCTCTCACTATTTCTCTCTCTCTCACACTTTTTATACCACACATGCCCACTGTCTGCCTCTCATTTCCACTCAATTTCAATCTGTAATTACTGTTGCTGTCTCTCTCTATGCGTGTTCTGTTTCAAGTGCCAATTGCTTTAATTAAAATTTATTTAAAACGCTTCAGGCATAAGTGGTACAAAACTGATAGCAATAGAGATAGAGAGTGAGAGAGAGAGAGAGAGAGTGGGAGACATATGTATGTCTATAATCTCAAATCAAGTATAAAATAAATATGTTATCAATGTATGTGATGCTTGTGGTTTCAAATGTCAGCTGCATCGATGCATCATTTAAATGAGACACACATAACAATTTCTTATATCTCTTATCGCCATCTACATACATATATATATATATATAAATAACCACAACAGCAACAATAACAAACGGACAACGGACAACAGAAATATTTATGACCCCCTCTGCGGTCGTTCGCTCTTGTTACGATTTCAGTCCTTTTTATTGTACACCTATGCACAAAATTGCTTTAGTATGTGTGTATGTGTGTGCTTGTGTGTCGGGTCCAATAACTATGCCAACATGTTTGCTGCTAACTCTTTGAATTCAAGTCGCAGCACTTGTCGCTGTAAGCCTCACCAAATCTGCCTTAAAGTGGCCAACTCACAAAGCTCTCGAGTTGGAGTTAGTTGAGTAATTGAAATTTTGTGGTTTTACAGTTGAGATTGGGCATTGAATGCATGAGCTTAGAGCTTATTGTTAGCTGTTTCGATTAAGTAGTAAATGTGGGTATAAAGTTTATAGCTTGATTTTGCATTAAATATTTATTTGTTCTTTGAATTAGTTTCCTCATACGCGTTGTGCTTAAATTAATTATAGACATATATAAATATATTTAAAAAAAATATTATTATTTTTAATTAATTGTGCTTTATTTCCATTTAATTTAATTTCTATTTTTACTATTTTTTGTTTTTTTTTGTTTTATGTTTTTATTTATTTTGCATAGCATGTATTTATTTAATTTAATTAAATGTAAATCCAGCTAAATGAATTTTCTATTTATTTATTCTATTCCACTCACAATTTGTTGGAGCTGTAATTGTGTTTGTTTCAGCTATCTATTATGTGCTTTCATTTTATTAAATTATTTTTGAATTGTAAATTCAGTAATTTGTAATCTCGAATATGTTTATAAGGCAACAATTTAACAGTTTGTTCAAGTTTTCTTTCTAAAAAAAAAATCCAGCAGCTGCAGAAATGTTCTTAGAATTCCCAATCAGCTCTGGCAATGGCCAAACATTATCGGCGTATTAAGCTCTTGCAGCTGTTGATTGAGTATTATTTACATTCATATAAATTGTGCCAAAGCCTCTTACTCTCTCTCTCTCTTTCTCTCAAACACACACTCACGCGAGAATACCAGGTATATCAGGCATAGCTCTAAAGTAAATTCTAAAGAGTATTTGGGCTGTGTTCTTGTAGCTTAATTTAATGATTTCGTACTTGTGATTTGTTATGATATCGCTGTTGTCTAGTTGATTTGTTTGCCAAAAATCATTTTTATTTTTGCGCTGTACAAAAGCATGCATAAATATATTTATATATGTCTGTCTGTATATATATCTATTGCTACAACTTAACAACGCTTCGCCAGCTTAGAGTTTGTTTATGCACACACCCACACACACGAACACACACGTAAATGAGAAACAAAACCAACGTGGCAACCATAAAGCTGAACCACACACACCCACGCACACACTCATTCACCCACACACTCACATAAATTTTGTACACTCTCATGTTTGCACAATAAAATTTCAACAATATACGCGACAGGGTCTTTGTACTTGAGTAAATTGGATCTCTGCAATGTGTGTGTGTGTGAGTGTGCGAGTGTGTGTGTATGTGTGCGAGGGGTAGTTAACAAAAATTAAATAAATATTTTGCTTAAAGCAAGTTTAAAGCAACACGCCCACAGCTGTAAGCAAAAACGTCTCCCACTCCACCTCTCTCTCTCTCTCTCTCTCTCTCTCTCTCTCTCTCTCTCACACACTCTCTTCCTGTCTAACTCACTCGTTCTGTTTGCTGTGATCCCTGAGTTGGCCCCTGGACCCCAGCTAAACATTTTAGGTATTCATGTGTAATCCATTTCGAAATTTGCATGTTTAATGTGCTGTGAGGAATTCTCGTTTCGTTTCGTTTTATTCTTTCTTTTTTCGCTTTTTGTTCTTCTTTGGTTTCGTTTTTTACTTATTTTCCTCTGCTGCTGCTGCTGCTTGATAGATAAATTTAGCTAGCCTGTCCCTGACATTCTCATTGACTTTGCAGCCAGCGTGCATTGTTGTCTGTGTATAATAAAACGTTGTTCTTAAACTTTTCCTCAAATTGCATATGCACAGTGACAGTTGTAGCTTTCATATGTAACTTGCTCTCTCCCTTACTCACTCTCACTCTCTCTCTCTCTCTCTCTATCTTTATATGTATTTGTATTTATATTTGTATCTGCTCGCAGGTGCGTTCTGGTGGTTTTTGTTTAGTGGATTGGCACGCCAGCTGTGGCCATTAATGAGAATCTGACAACAACTGAAGCTCGCTTACAATGCAAACAGAGTTGGTTTTTTCTCTTTTTTTTTTTGGGGCCATTGTTTGTGTGGGGTGTATATAAATGCGATCAAATTCGTTGGTAAGTGTGATAATTAATTGTGCCTTAACGCCATGAAAGTCGTTTACTTAGCATTGTTGGTCTCATTCTCGCTGCTCGCCGTCGGCCGTGCCGCGGGCAAAAATGAGAGTCACAGCGTTACGTGGGGCAGTCGTTCGTTTAGGGATATGCATCTGGAGCGAGTTATCATATCGGAGAAATCGAAATTCCTACGCGTTGTCACACGCACCTACACATTCAAGCAAACTGTGCGTTCAACTGAGGCTGATATATACATATATATAGTTTGATTTAATTTAATTGCAATTTTCTGATTCGATTTGTCAGCAGGGCGTGCAGCGTCTCATCACACAAATCGTGGTCACCGATCAGATCAAGAATGGCAACGGCGGCTATGCGCGACTAGAGGCGGGCGGACCGAATACCAATTTTGCCAAGATCTACTTTAAAAGTCAGCGCAACAAGGAATTCAGCTTTATTGTCGATATTTATGGCATTTAATTAAACTAATTATTGTCTTTCATTAAGGCCGTACTCAAAATAACACTGATTAATTACAGTTTACTGTTGTCTTTCTGAGTGTGTATGCCTGTGTGTGTGTGTGTGTGTGTGTGAGTTCGTATTGATAAGCGTCATGCGGAAGGGTATGCCCTATAAATTGAGGGCTCATGTGATAAGGCGTTTACTGTACTCTGCTTATCTGTGTGTTATTGCAATTTTGTAATTTACTTTTGTCTCTTTGTATACTGATGTATGTGTGTATTTAAGAGCGATCGGCTGTGCCTGACTAGGAGATATCGTACATCCTGCAAAGAGCTGTTATTCTGTGACGGATAGACAGACAGAGAGACTGTCTTGGCTATAAAGACGCAGCTCTTCGTTCTGATCAAGCATCACTTTATGGGATCTACCATTTTATATCGTGTTACTTGATTGTTCTTCAAATAACAGCATTATTGGACATAGGATACCCTTCTCTATATAATGAGCATAGTATATACTTATATAAATATTGAATCCGCTATAGCGATCTATGCTCAACTTCCTTGTATGGCTTATAGCACTTCATGCTGAACTCCTCACTCTCTCGTCTCTCTCACACACTTTATCGATTTCTCACTTTCACACACACGCTCTCGTTCTCTCTCTCACCCTCTCTTTGTCTTTGTCTCTTAATCAGAGCTGCTCGAAACATCAAATGACTGAGAGCATCGATCAATGCAGCACTCAGATGAGTGAGCTATAGCGCTCTATGATAAAAACTGATCCACACCACGAAAAGCAACGCCTTTTATTTAAAAATTCTTATCTAATTTCTGTCTCTTTCCAGGGATTCCCACGGCCCATGTCCCTACATTCGATCGCTGTGACCTAGGGAATGGTCGGAAATCGTAAGTATTTACTATATAATATGCTTGAACAACTTTTAAGTATTATAATCATTATATTATATACAGATGTTCTATATGTATATCTATTAAACATCTAAAGTTAGTTCTTCCTCTTTAAAAAAAGCTCTCCATGCTCCATTATTTGCATTGTATCTCAATTCGCATATAGGGTATATTGAGGTCGCTCTCCATTGGCGCTTCACCCATTTTACTTGTTGTCTATTTGTTTATTTACTCGCATGCAATATTTACATTTACACAAATAGTCGACCAAGAACATTATTTAGTCACATGTTTATAGCATAAACAGGGCAAACGGAAAAGAGGCAGAAAAGCAGAAAACTGTTGATTCGTTAATATTTTTCTCTTCCTCTTACCGTCTGAGGGCCAAGGGATGTTGACCATGATATACATTGTTTAATTGTTTTGCGCATTGTGCATTGTATTTTTTCCTTGGTATTACTCTTTTTTTTATACAGTAATAACTGCATAATTGAATTGAATTTATGGTTAAGAGCTGTTAAATGAGTTTCTTTATCCTCAACTTGAATTTAATTTAGTTTACCTTTTGTTTCATTGAGTCTATGACGTCAACTGCCTTTTGTGCGGAAAACAAAATATTTTCAGGCACTTGTTTATACAAGTTGAATGTGAATTGTTCCAGAAATATGCGATTTTTTTTATATTTTATCTTGCTCTGTTGTGCAAATTCTTTAGCTATTCTTTTTTATCTGCTCTCTCGATTTCCGAATTTTATTTTTCTACAAGTTCTATTTTTGTGACTAATATTTCGTTTCAAGAGATCTAGTCTTACTTTCTGCCATTCTCTTTTGCTTTGTTTCTTCTCAAGCTCTTTTTAATTTTATATTATTTTTCTATGTTACCTCTCATTCTTGAACTTTACTTCAAGGTCTCCCTTCTTGAAGTCTTAACAAATTCAGCCTTTCTATGCGATTTTCAAATATTAAACAAATATTGTATTTGACTTTTAATTAAGTCCGAGAAATTTGCTCTCATTAGATGAGATAAAAAACTTTAAATGATGTTTAATTAATTTACCAGTTTTACTCCTGAATGAAAATTGATTATTTAGTATTCAATTCGTATCGATATAAAGTTTAAGACTCGTAACTACTTAAGTCTGCTGCGAGACAAGCAATCGATGCTTGTCTATCAAACTAATTCACAGTTACAAATGTATGCTGTCAATTAAGAGCAGATGCTGCACTTATTTACAATTCTAAATAATTAAGCTGTACGACTTTTGCCATTTGCTTTAGCTTTAACTTTAGCTTTAGTTGGAGGAAGCAGAACTTAGAGTGGGAGTGGCTGGAGGCAGGAGGCAGGAGGCAGGAGGCAGCTGCTCAATGCTCAATTCCATTTCATTAAGGAAAAGACATGCTCTAGTGTGAGAGATGAATATATATAGATAGGAGCGTAATTAAGGGGCATTAAATTAAACGATGCAGCCGCAATTTTGGTCGAGCAAATGAGAAAATATTACACACAATGTGAGTGTCTATGTGTGTATGTGTGTGCATGTGTGCGTGTGTTTCTGTGTGTAAGCTACAGGCTGCATGAGAGCTTCAATGGCATTTGCCAAATGCCAGGCACTTAAACTTAACCCATGAGGCACGCCCCCGCCTCAACGTGTCGCCCTTTTTCTGCTGTTGCTGTTGCAAAGCTCAAACAAATCCAATCAATGTTACAGCCTTACACACACACACACAACCAATAAGCGTGTGTGTGTGTGTGTGTGTGTATGCAAATAAGCGCCGGATGGCATATAAAATTTAATGTGCTGCCTCTACTCTTATTCTCTCTCTCTCTCTCTCTGTGTCTGTCTATCTCTGTCTCTCTACGTCTCGCTCTCAGACTTTCGCCTTTGGTCTCTTGGCGACTTTTGCTGTTTGTTGTTGTTGTCATTTTGGATTTAGGATCAGCGCCATTGATGCGTGTGCAGCCCATCAATCGTTGCGAATTAAAATTTTATTATGCCAGCCTGAAACACGATTGCACATGCATACGCTGCGTATACTTAATACGCATTACGCAAACGTTCCACATTTAGTGCCTCAATGAGCATTTAAATGCAAATGCCGTGCCATTTAAAATGTTTGGGGCCGTCGCCATCAGCATGAATAACCGAAATGCTTGAGCTTGAGCCAAGGGGTCATTAAATGCCCTTACTGACTATTACTAATACCTCTTACTAATGCTCTTGGTCTAACACGGTCGCAACTGCTGCACAAGGCCAAAAGACAATGAAGCGTGAAAGTGCAAATTAACTGCAAAACACATGGAGCACATAACCGGCAACGAGCAAGTCCTAAAGGTGGACAGCGTTAACGTTCCCTAGCGAGGGCTGCACTCAAAGTTGCTCTATTTGTTGGGAGCAATTGGAGAACTCAATTTGAGAGTAGTCTAAAGCGAAGATAAAGTCTATCAAAGTTTGCAATAGCTGCGCAAGCTTAAAGTTATTTTGCAACACCCACGAGGGTCGCTCATATAGTTGTGATCGGCTCATATATGTGTACATAACCAAAGAATATTTTTGGTTTATTGGTAAAGTTCTCATACAGCTCAAGACAATTTTGCTTTTGATTTGATGACGATTTACAAAAGATACTAAGTTCATCTCTTAGTATTAGTTAGCTTTTGATATTATTTACTAGTACTTCTAGTTAACTTTTCTGATGATTTTTCATATTTTCCTACTTATCTTTTCTGTTTATATACAAAAGAGATTTTTCAAATATTTATAAATATTTTTGATATACATTTATATTGATTGATATACATTTACATTGATATACATTTTGGTTCATATTCGTCAACCTAACTTCTGTTTAAAGATAGATATAAAAATTGTATAAGTATTGTTATATGAACTATTATATTGTATTAACATTCCAACTACAGCAACAGCTTGACTTCAATCTCAATTTCCCAATTTATTCTGCTTCGCTTTTCATTAATGCTAATCCACACAGCAATCAAGATCTGCCCTCGCAGTGCCCTTGCAACACACACGCACACACATTCACACTCACACATACGCACACCTGTATAGCTGTTAGTGACAGCGTTTTTCATGCGCTTTTGGCTGGCGTTCAAGGATAATGCAGCAGCGCGTATGTGCAAGTATTTTATAGTTTCTGCGCTACACACACACTCGCACACACACACGCGCTGCCGCACATCTTCAAGCGCTGTTTGTGCCACTTTGTGACCCCATCGTTCAATAACAACATTGTGCTTCAATAGCCAAACGTCCCTTTATATCTAGCGATACCCACTTGCTCACTCTCCCGCTCTCTCTCTCTCTCTCTCTTGCTCCCTCTCCCATTGACCACGCCTCCGCTGCTGGATACGCTGTTGGGAGTTTATAAAGCGCCATACATTATGCAGGTTGTTTGTTATCGTTCGATAGAGTGTAAATTATGGCACAAGTTGGCAAGCGTCGTTGCAAGTCGCTCGCAACCAAAGCTAACGGGTCACACAAATATGCATATGTGTGTGAGTGTGTTGTGTGTGTGTGTGTGTGTCAGCATATATGCTTGCAAAAATCCTAATTGAGCCAGCTTGCAGTTGAGCTCTAAATGGAATTTATGTGGTTGCATATTAATTTCAATTATGCGCATTCTATCTCTCTCTTTTTCTCTCTCTCTCTCGCACCGTCTTTGGTGTATTTTTTCGTGCAAATGTTTTGCTCGTTGTTGAAGCTTATTTTTGTTAAGCAAAATCCTATTAAGTTTAAGGAGCTGAAAAGCGCATTTAAATCCATATATATATATATGTATATAAATTTAGATGTATATATAAATGTATATATATATTTTGATATATTATTTTGCTTGTGCAATTGAAAGGAAACTTTTCTATGGCTTTGCCCCGGCGCTCGTTCAGATCTTTCGTTTCTATGTGAGTCTATGTGTGTGTGTGTGTGTAATCGAATGGCTCGCCCGCTGCTCGTATCAATGCAGCCTGAAGGGCTTTATGCAGATTTCCATTTGACTTTGTCTCAAATGTGCACACACACACACAGACATACCCACACAGACACACCTACAGAGAGACACAAGATAAGACTTAGCGGAAATCCAGTCTTTCTCTTTTGCTCGTAACCCTCTCTCAGTGCCTCGTTCATTTTACAGCCAATTTTGTGCTTCTTAGAAAAAACCCCCCATTTGTCTCCCTTCCCGCTATTTAACAAGCCTGTCCATTTTCTTTATCCTTGTGCATGCTCCTGACCTCGTTGCGGTTACCCCTTTGTATGTGTATGTATGTGTGATCCCCCTCTTCTCTCTTTAGCAGTTTCTTTTTCATCTTGTCATCGCGTCTTTGTTAAGCGCATAAAGTGTGAAAGTACATGGAAAAGGATTTCAGTTGCTGTCCCGAGAGACTTTTGTTTTTCAATTGCCATTTGCCATATTTGCCACAATTGTTGCAGCTGTTGTTAGCAGTGAAAAAAATAAGCACAAATAAAATAAAAATAACAAATAAAAACACGCAAACCCACTTCAAAAATGTTCGACTTGCCTGGGGCAACAAATGCAGCTTGCCGTTTCTTGTCTTGGCTGCGCTTCGCTTGCCACACAGCACAGTTTGGCTAGAGCTGCAGCTATAACGCCGCCGGCTGTCTTATCAGTTGCAATTTATACCCTGTTGAGTGAGTTGAGTGATGGGGTCGATTGATTTTCATTGCAAGCTGAGAGCTGTTGAAGTCTTGAGGGGAATTTATGGTATTTTTTCTAGGTCTAAATAATGTGTATATTGGCAATTATTCCTATTGGCACATAGAGAATTATGGGACTTTGTTTTTGTGTTTTAAAAATTCAGCAACAATTGCCTTTGGCTACGGCAATGTGTGGACTAATGAGTTTTAGAAAATTAAATACTGCTGCAAAAATGAATAAAAAAAATTTGGGTAAAACAAAAAATTAAATTTTAATAATAGATAAATAAAAAAAAATGAAAAAAGGCAAAAAAAAAAAAAATAATAGTAAAAATAATAAATAAATATAAGAATACTAAAAATTAAATAACTAAAATAAATAAATAGTTACAAAAGTGGAAAAAAATAAATATATATATATATTTAAAATAAAAAAAAATAAAAATTAAATAATAAAAATAAATAAATAAATAAATACAAAAATAAAAAGTTAAGTTAAAAAAAAAAAAAAAAAAACGAAAATTAATTAATTGAAAAAAAATTATAATATTTAAATATTATTCAGCTGGCAAGCTCATCTTCACAAATTTCTATATAGCTAAAGTTTTTTTTATTTATTTGCCTATTAACAGGGTATACAACAATCAAGCACTTTACTTGCTTTTGGTATATCTGAAATCAAGTAAATCACAGTCAAGTCTCTTCACCTTGTAAGCTTTAGAAAGGGTATTTTGCAGTCAAGCACTTTCAGCTCATGCTCTCTTCTTTAAGCATTTCGAAAATCAAGCGGAAACTGTCAGCTACCTATGTGTGTGTGTGTGTGTGTGTAATGTGTGAGTCCATGTGTGTGCATGTATGCATGCCGACATTCACTGCACATCGTTACTCTGTTCTGTGAGTGTTTTTTGGATTTCCCACTCGACTTGAATCATGCTTATCAAGTGTAGCTAACAATGTGCTCTTTCTCTCTATGAAGGTGTGTGTCTCTGTGTGTGCCCATGTATCATGTGTGCGTGTATGTGTGTGCTTGTTTGATTGCCTACAGCTGTTTTTCCGGCTAGCAATTTCTATTTTTCAAGCTGTTGCTGCCATTTCTACGGCATTTTCTGCTACTTTTCTCAGCCATTTGTAACGCGGCAGCGTCTTAATAAATTGCGAATCAGTCGCCCTTAGCTGCCCCCTTCGATTGCCCCATTGTGGGGCGGCGTGTGCTGCACACATGAATTGCAAATTATTGTCTATTTAGAATCTAGATCACAGAAAGGCCCTTTGGTCATTAGGTAACCAAGAGACAAAATACACAAACGCAATGTAGATTTCATTTCCATTCAGCTTTATTTCCATTTCGAACAAAAAATAAATTAAAACAAAATACCAAATGTTGTATATTATGCTTACATTTGTTTGGAGCTCTTCTTGTCTTTTATGTACGTCTTGATATAGAATTTGCCAAACATATACATCATGAGCAACGACTGAAAGCCGAGCAGAACTATTAAACCTTTGGGGAAGCTACAGTTCTCGGCATAGATCAGCACGTAGGTCGAATATAAGAAGATCATCATGAACTGTATGAGCTGTGCTATCGTTATATATTTCTTCCACCAGATGTTTGCTTTGACGCCCGGATAATACGCCGAGAGGAAGTAGTAGAAATACATAAAGGCATGCACGAACGTGTTGAACAGGCCGAGGCAATTGAAGTGACCGCCGGTGCCATAGAATCGCATAACCAAATAGCAGCCAATGACCATTATGAGGTGGTGATAGACGTGCAGAAATGAGATCTGCTTGTAGCTCTTGCGCAGCACAAAGAATATCGTGTCCAGCAGATCGGTGATCTTGTTGATGTAGTAGGCATAGTGTATATAGCGCTCAATGTTTTTGTGCCGATGCCCGAAGGGAAAGGTTTCCATGCAGTGCAGATCACAAATGCCCTCAATGATCAGAAAGTAGAATGTCTGAAATGATAATAAAGAAATAATTGTATTAAACAAGTCCAATTGGAAATTATTCAATATTTACTGACAGTACTAAATACGATCGTATTGTATGCCACCTGGCCAAGATTGTAAACGCGCAAAACATTCGTCAAGTCGTACGGCTCTCGATTTCGCATATAGATCTTACCAACTTTGAGAACAAATATCAAATAACTTGTGACGATCAGAAAGATCGGCCATGGTGAATTTGTTAGTGGCAACGGATTGGGATCTGTGTAAACAAATATATTCTATAGATTTTCGTTCACTTTTATATATCAATTATTTACATTACCAGGTGACGGAATATTGAAAATATTGAGCATGGTTAAAAGCCACCTTTCGTCTATTAAGCTCGCTATACGATTTGCGAATGAATGCGAATGTCAAATGCATTACATATCTAATTAAATAGTTTTTAAGTTGCTTTCGAGCTCTCAGCATTGTACTGAATAGAACTAGTTAAAAACGAAACAGAATTGGAACAGAATACGAATAATTAAAAGCTCTTGAAAAAGTTACAGACAAGTACATACAGCAATTGGAACAAAAGCTCTATGCGATTAGTGATCATTGATATTTATAAGATACGATCGAAGCTGTAATCGTAATTAGATATTCACTTAATTGAGCACTTAATAAAACCTACTTGTAGTATATATGGCTAAATAGTTGATATCAAGTTCGAACTCAAAATTATATAAAGTACAATTCATAGAAAGTTAGACGCACACTGCTGATAATTGTCTCTTAAGATTATATAAATACATATAGAACTCATTCAGCTAAGCTGCGAAAAGACGAAATAATAAATAAAAAAACAAGTTTTTTTTTTTTTTTACTGTAAAAAATATTTTTTTTTTTACTCCAATATATAATTTAGAACAAAAATAAGCTACATTTCTATTGAGTTTTCTTCGATTTTGGCTTGATGTATGTATTGATATAAAATTTGCCAAACAAAATAATCATGACCGATGACTGAGTGAGTATCACATACTGCAAAAAGATGGGAAACTGGCAGCTCGGATTGAATATGAGCACGATCAATGATTGAGCAAGTATTATCACAAATTGGATTAGCTGAATTTCGGTAATGTATCTCTTCCACCAAAGACTGCTCTTGAGGCCCGGACTCAAGGCGGAAATGAAGTAATAGGAATACATAACGGAATGCACAAAGGTATTCAATGTGCCCATCACATGAAACTGGCCAGAGCCACCATATATACGTAATATCCAGTACGTGCTGGAAACCATCAGCACATGATGATACACATGCAGAAACGTGATCTGTTTGTAGCTCTTGCGCAGCACAAAGAACACTGTATCCAACAGATCGATTATTTTGTTCACAACGTATAAATATGTCAAAATCCGCTCAGTTGGCTTGAAGGGATGATCCAGGGGCAGCACTTCTATGCACCGTATATTGTATATTGGATGGATGAGTATCATATCGAGACCCTGCAAGAGACAATTACATGAATAACTAATCACTTTTAAGGAGAAACCTGATCATATACGTACATAAAGAAACAGTATGACATTGTAGATCACCTGCAGCACGTTATAGACCAGCATTACGTTCTTGATATTGTATGGATTGCGGTTCTGCATAAAGATTTTACCCAGTTTTAGCACAAATGCTAAATAGACGACCAGAATAACTGTCACAGTCCATCCCGAGTTCATCAGTGGAAAGGAGCTAGCCATAACTGGATCTATCCAAAAACAAAAAGTCTTTAAATTCCGCATAAATACCAAAACTGGCCATTGTACCTTTTGCAGGTCTACTGAAAAGTTCGATTATATCGACGCCCATTTTGCACTGCACTGTTTTCCAAAGCTCTGTTCTTTCCTTACGGCAAACTCGGTGACTTGATAGCCTCCACTGCGGCTATCAAATAGAAATCGCCACTAAGCAACAGCTACTTAAATGCCAAGAAAAAGAAATGAATTCGAAATGAGCAGCGATAGATGGTAAGAACATGTCGACAGTTGGGCACTCTATTCCAGAGTAGAGTACGACTATAGATTAGAATGAAGATACGATATCCATTCAGCTAACTACCAAATTCCAAACTATATATATTCTAAATATTATTGACTATATAATAATAATGATTTGGTACATGTCTTTCGCCTATGTGCTACGTCTTTCGTTACGTAATTAAAATGCTCAATGCTACAGGGCATCATTGATATTCAACTAGAAATTGATTCAGTTCATGCATTAATTAACCTGCTGCGCACACGTTTGAATTGCTAATGCATAAGGATATAAGTACTGATAAATGAGGAAATGTTGTACACTAAGATATATATAAATATACATAGAGAAGAAGATACGATTACGCTCTGAAAGTTTCATTAAGATCGTATGTCTACAAAAGAAATTATTCAACAAATAAATTCTCAAAATATTGCCCACACTGCAGCGCAGCCCAAGTGCAGTCGCTGCTTACTGCGCAGTTAGCAGAGCGCAGGCTTATGCGTGCGTGTGGACGCATGTGTATGCATGTGTGCATAAAAGAAGTGCAGAATGATTAGAATATCAGCTTAGAGGGTTCAGGGTATCTCCTAGTCGAGCAGTCTCGACTGGAGCCTTCTTACTTGTTATATAATAAAACAAACTTAAGTAATTGCGCCGTTCTGTTTTAATATTTCGTACAGTTCTATTAAAAATTGTTTAGCATATAGACGTACAGCTTAAATATGGATCGATAAAAAGATTTTGTACATATGCCTTAACAATTGCGTACGTTTCGTATGGTAATTCAGTTCTTATCAGTGTACTTATATTTTAACAAAGCTCAGGTTTTTATTTTTTTTAATTTTTTTTTTTATTTTTTATTTTAAGAAATATTTTACTGCGTTTTCAATGTCTTGGGCTTAATGTAAGCATGATAATAAAAATTGCTAAACATGATTATGAAGGATGTTGCCGCCGCCAGCTGCATAAGATGCAGTCCCATTGGAAATCCGCAAGTCGGATTAAAGATGAGCACATGTATAGGTTGGAAGAATAGCAAAATAAACTGTGCCAATTGGAGTAGAGTGATATACTTCTTCCACCAGAGACTGCCCTTGAGCTCGGGATAAAGAGCCGAAATAAAGTAGTAGGAGTACATGACGGTATGCACGAAGGAGTTAAAGAATCCCATCATTGCGTATTGGCCGCCGGTGCCGTACATTCTGATAACCCAATACGGACCATAGACCATAATGACATGGTGGTATAGATGTAACGTAGTTATTTGCTTATAACTTTTTCGTAATACAAAGAACACGGTATCCATCAGGTCGAGCAACTTATTCAAGAAGAAGATGTATGTAGCCCAGCGTTCGGTAGGCTTCAGCGGATGGTCAAGTGGGAAGGATTCCATGCATTTATTGTCGTACGCCGGATTAATGATAACTCGGTACACCCCCTTTAAGGAAACTCTGTAGAATTGTTGTTGTCAACTAAACCGGGATGTCCGAAATACATACGTAAGAGAACATTATTCCATTGTAGATCACTTGAACGATATTATAGACGAGCATGAAGGCTTTCACGTTATACGGCTGGCGTTTCCGCATATAAATAGGTCCAAGCTTAAGTGTGAATAGTAAATATCCCAAGCAAATGAGAGTCGATGGCCATGGCGAGTCCAATATTGGGAATTCCTTTGTTCCAGGATCTGCAGTGATATTACTATAAAGGATCCGTGCCATATGAATTACACTAGAAATATTTGTTACCTGCCCGGGGTAACTCAAACTTATCAAGGAACTTCATCGTGATCTCAATTTTTTCTCTTCAAAGTAGTTCCGATTAGATCAGAACCCAATTCAAGACTAATCACATTTGAATGTTGCAAAAACTAGAAAAATTCGGTATAAAACAGTTTTTAGTCAATCTGAATTATTTGAATTTCGGTCGAAAGAAAGAAAAAACCGCATAGCGTGTTTTCGTGTATCACCGATTGTTAAATACTCGTCCACACTGCCGCTGAGTACTATAATTATAAATTTCGACTTGCATGTAGCCAAAACGCTCTCTCTACTTCATTAAAGAGTATGTCGGAACCGAAAATTGGGTGTACTTTGAATATCAACAAACTAAAATGTACTTTGCATATAAATATATGTGTATATATATATATAATGAGGTTCTTCCGTAAACGTAAGCTCTGTTTATTTGGTGCTTAAATAATATATATTTTAGACAAATAAAAGTTTGCTACAGAAATAATAGCTAAAAGTAAAGGAAGGAACAGGGACAAAGAGAGATAGAGAGGAAGAGAAAGAGAGAGAGAGTGGTAAAGAGAGAGCGAGAGTGGAGCGTGAAAGAGACGCGAGAGGGAAAAAGATAAAACTAATACTTGAAAAAAGTTTCATGTAAAAGAATACCTAATAAAATAATGGAAATTTAAAGTTGGGCAGAAGAAGAAGATCTAACAGACCAGAAGAGATTGGCATTAATTAAAAGTTTTCGCTTTAATATTGGACTATTATTAGTAATTAATGCCGTAATTGGCCAACTAAATTATTACAAAGTATATAAATTCCGTAAAATATATTAAGATGCAAAAAAAAAAAAAAAAACAAGTAAGAAGACTCTAGTCGAGACTGCTCGACTAGGATATACCCTGAACCCTCTAATCTGATATTCTAATCAGTCTGCACACATACATACACACATACATACACACGCACGTACTAGAACGCGCTCTGCTAACTGCGCAGTAAGCAGCGACTGCGCTTGGGCTGCGCTGTAGTGTGGGCAGCATTATAAGAATTTATTTGTTGAATAATTTAATTTGTAGACGTACAATCTTAATGAAACTTTCAGGGCGTAATCATATGGTGAAAATGTATGTACATTCCAAAGCACAAGTCTCTAGTACTTGAAATACGCCTTGTACAAAGGTGAGGGTGGGGGGGGTGGATATAGGGGTGGGGGGTAAATAACAATAAAAATCGAAATTATATAAAATACATATAGGTCTACATTTAAAACTTGCAAGCTCTAGCTCTAAAGGTGTAGGAGATATAATTAAATAACTAGCTTTCGATAAGGTTTTTAATCGATAATAAAACATCGGGATTAGTTATCGATATAAAAAGAAAAACTTGATATGCGCGTGATATACACGGACCTAGAAAAAAAAGTTTCAAGTCTCTAGCTCTTATATCTTCTGAGATCGACGCGTTCATACATACGGACGGACGGACAAACAGACGGACAGGGCCAAATCGACTCAGCTCGTCTCCCTGATCAAGAATATATATACTTTGTGGGGTCTGCCACGCCTCCTTCTGCCTGTTACATACTTTTAACAAAACCATTATACCCTGATTTCCCATTTTCAATGGGTTCAGGGTATAAAAATACTAAATCAATTATGTGATTGATGCAAGTTTAATTTCGACTTTCGCAGCCCGCATAAAAACAAACTAATTTTACTCAAGAAAAAATTACAAAAACAATATAGGCTATACGGAAAATAAATTATATGCTATACATTTCAAGGCTGAGGCCTGAACTTTGGTTCTGTTGCGTAAAGTCTAGCTATTGAATTAGATTCAGGTTAATTTATTTATGATAATCGTCAATAGGTTTGCAATGCATGTCCAAATAGATAAGAATAAAAGGAAAAAAAAAACACACACACACAAAACAAAAGGGATTTTGCGACATTATTTCTAAAGGTTTATTCAGTTTTTTGCTTTGGTTTAATATATGCGTGATAATAGAAATTTCCGAACATGACAATCATCGAGGATGCCTGAAATATCTGCAGCCATTGCATAAACAAGGGGAAGTGACAGCTGGGGTTAAAGACGAGAACTACAATACTTTGCACTAAATATATCATAAACTGTACAATTTGGGCGATAGTTATGTATCTCTTCCACCACAAATTCATCTTCATTTTAGGTCGCAGGCCCGCATTAAAGTAGTAAAAGTACATAAGAAAGTGCACAGCTGTGTTGCATATTCCCATTACTGAGTATTGGCCACCGGTGCCGTAGAGTCGTATTACCCAGTACATGAAGTAGACCATCATGGCATGATGATACACATGCAGAAACGTGATCTGTTTGTAGCTCTTGCGCAGCACAAAGAATATCGTATCCAGTAGATCGAATATCTTGTTCAAGAAGAAAATATAGGTAATGCTGCGTTCTATCCTCTTCTTCGGATGGTCTACACTAAGGGTGTGCATGCAACTTATATCGTATGTTCCTTCGAAAAATATATAATAAAAAACCTGTAAGGAAATGTGAAAATTGTAGAACTTGCAGGAAATCGATGAGATTTTCATACTTACCATAAGAAAGATCGATCCATTATAGATCATTTGACAGATGTTATAGATGAGTATTATGTTCCTCAAGTTGTAAGGCTTGCGATGCTTCATGAATTCTGGACCGATTTTGTAGACAAATAATAAATATGCCGTGCAGAGACATGTCACAGGCCATGGCGAATTGAGCAAATACACCTCAGCTGTCCAGGGATCTATATAGAGGTAGTATATGATAAGTATATATCCGAGTGGCAAGTCTGCCGCAGTCCTTGCCTGCTCGCCACAGTTCGAACATGTTGAAGAGACTTGAATTCGATGCGTGCATATCCGAGTGGTAAACGCGACTGAATAGTAAAGTTCGCCTGGTTTTTTTTTTATTAAGTATCGGTATTGTGTTTATGATAATTAGTTTAGACTCGTCACTGCATAAATACATTCATTATAGACTGCATCGGTATTTGATTTACATGAGAAAAATGTTTAATTTTCCCTGACCCTCTTTTCTTTACAGGTGACGTGGCTGCAATGGACGGCAAGAGCAACGGCAGCTGCTGGGCCAACACACGCAAAAATGTTAATGCTCAATCCATATTCAAATGGCTGCCTATGCAGCGCTCTCATCAGCGAATTCAGTAAAATTTAAGCGAAACGAAGAGAGCTGCCACAGAAATTGCAACGGCAACTGCAGTGGCTGAGAATTTAATTAAGCGCACAAAAGCGAGCTGCACCAAATAAAAAAGGAGACAGAATATAAGTAAGCCCACGTCGACGCCCACGCGGCAGTGGCCATAAATCAGCCGCTGCTGGTGCGGTAGGCCAAGTGGTGAGGCTCAGCAACTCTTTGGCAGCCAGGCAACGACCCCAAAAGCAGCGAACAGACGTTTGGGGCGTCTTCCTGCCGCGTACGTGCGGCCAGTAGCTGGCCAATTAGTCGCCGCCTCCGAACAGCCAGCGGTAATAATTTTGGCTCCATTGAACGTCAGCCTGATGACTGCCGCGAAGAGACGTGCAGCAACTGGCAGCAGCAGTAGCAGCAGCAGCAGCAGCAGCAGCAACAGCAACATCAACATCAACAGCGAGCAGCAACCATTGCAGCAGCATCATCATCATCAGCATCAGCATCATTCGGATGCGGATCAGCAGGTGCACGAGTACCAGCAGCTGTTGCAGCATCAACATCATGGCCATAATCAACACCAGCAGCAGCAGCAGCAGCAACAACACCAGCTGCAGCAACATCATCATGCCCAGCAATACCACCAGAGACAACAGCAGCATCATCAACATCAACATCACCATCAACAGCATCAGGCATCCGCATCCGCATCAGCAGCGGCGACACTGCGCGATTGTTCTGTCAAATTGCCGCTGGACATCCTGTGAGTATTGGCACTGAGCTCGGAGCTCTGCGCTCTGAGCTCTGAGCTGTTGGCTGGGCTATCATTAAGGGTCTGAGTGGGGCATCTCACCTAGATTAGAGCTGGATATTCCCCTTGGGCTAATGCTGATTCAGGCGCTCCCTCGACCATGAGACTTGTTAGATAACTAATGCCCTGTAAAAAGTCTGAGCTAGGGGGTAGTTCGAGCAGCTAAACTGTAGGATATTTCGAATAGAGTTTAGGTAAAATAATGTGCTAAAAATTATGATAAATTATGGATAAATCATAAGTGTTATATGCTGTATATATCCTGAAATACTTATATGAAAATTTCCTTACAAAAAAAAAAAAAAAAAAAAAAAAAAATACTTTACATTAAAAAAAAAAGAATTAAAAAAATATTTTTAGCAAATTGTATTGCTATATATATATTTCTCTCAATATACTAAATCTTCATTCAAATTACAGGGTAGCTATTAGTCATGAACTGCAGCTCTGCAGCGCCTGTTAGAAATAGCAACGTCAAATGTAGGGAAAAAGTCAATGTAAGCACGTCTCATGCTTTCATAAAATTTACATTTGAACGACTCGAATGAAAATTGCATTCATGTTAATGGCTGGACAACAATTTTCGAAGTCAATTTCAACAGCTATGCTATGCTATATGTACTGTGCTTTTTTGATAAACATTTGATTGTGGGCCAATTATATTTTGAAATTGCATGCGCATGCATGTTGCCAATCTAAGATACCAAAGTAGATGGCATCATTCCTAAATGCATTGACTTCATATAATCAAATGGGGCTAATGGTGGAAAATTAAAGACTTTGGAGGCTGATGGCAGAGTTTAAATGATTAGATGCGATAGGAGTATGGGTTAAAAGGATGTAGACTTAGTTAAAGTAGACCTAAAAACTTGTATATTTGGAAAAGTAGTTAATCACAATATATTTTGTAAAAAAAAAATGTTTTTAGTAAGAGAGTCTCGTATTTTCCTTCTTTTCTTTCTTTTTCTGCTGTAGTTCAGAAAAACTTTCAGTTTGAAGAGTCACTTATCTCTTATACCATAAGAGATATTAAAGTCCTTAATATTCCATTCACATGAAAGCTCTCAGTATATTAAAGCAAAACCTTTTTAAGCAACATTTCACACACAGCTCGCAGGCAGCTTAAAGCTTGTTGAATTGTTCTCAGTTCTCACGCCATTGTTGCCCCGAAAGTTGCAAACTTTATTTATTATTTTTTATTCAGTTTTAATTAAGGCGCCATCACAAATCATAGCTGCGTGTAGAATCGAATGGATAAATGTTCAAAGTTGGCAATATTAATTGCACTAGCTGCAATTGTTGAGTGCCGTGTCGTGAGGTCTTTGGCTAAGTCTTTAAGCCGCTTTCCAGCGAATTGCTGGGAATGTTTGAGCTCGTTTAAAACAAAGTCAACTTGGCTGGGATTTAAGTTGTTAAAGCTGCCTGCGGGCGCCGGGCAAAGGACAAAGGACGAAATGGAGTTGCAACTGGGCTGTCAACTTGAATGCGTGACAGCAGCAGGAGCAGCAGGAGCAGCAGCAGCAGCAACCACAACAAGCTGTAGCAGCTGTAGCTATAATAACAGAAGCAACCGGAGCAACAACAATAACAGCAGAGTCAAAGGGAAACGTTGCGTTTATGTAGATGCCAACTCAAGTGGGTAGTCCAGCCACGCCTACCAGAAAACGAGGCCAGGCAAAGTCCGTGTATCTGTGTGTGTAGAGGAAACTTAAAGCATGCCACAGCCGCAAGGCGTCGCGACGTCTGCGTGAAGGCAGAGGGAAAAGGAGAGAGTGAGAGAGTGAGAGAGAGAGAGAGAGAGAGAGTGGGGACTTGAAGCAGACAGAAGTTTGAAAATGTGTGAAGTGACGCCTTGTGGGCTGCACCACACTCCACCACAGCACACCACAGCACAGCACCGCACACGCTGTGTCGTTACTTTTAACGAGGTGTCGCAGGCAAAACTCGGCCAACAGGATGGAACAGCAGCTACCAGCTACCAGCTGCCAACTGCCAACTGCCTGTTGCCATGCTTCCCCCTCCCCCAGCCCAACATCAAAGCTACCTTTAAGGCTGGCTATATATAAATGCACTTAGCCAGCCGTCGACTGACTGCCAGCGGCGCCGTCTGCTGCTGCTGCTGCTGCTGCCGCCGCTGCTGCCGCCGCTGCTGCAGCTACAAATGAAGTCATCCATTAGACGAGCATAGCGCACGTTACGTATACGCGACGTATGGCAGCGGAGTCATAATGCGAGTCGGGTTTTTACTGTGGTCTAAGCGGAAACGTTTATAATGGAATTCGCCTAAGCGCTGACAAGCGAGCCTTTTGATACAGCAGCAATAGCAGGAGGAGGAGGAGAAGCAGGAGCAGGAGCAGGAGCAGAAACAGCAGCAACGGCATTTGGTGTTTCTTACAGGCCGATGGTAGTTGGCAGCTAGTTGAGACACCTGGGCGATGTCACCTCTTGCTAATTTCTGTAAGCAGTTTTTCGGTTAGCACTTAGTGAGTCATCGGCACTCGGAGTTGAACCTTTTGCCGGGCAGAGGGGCAGAGGGGCAGGAGGCAGGAGGCAGGAGGAGTAAATGTGTCGTTTGGGCCGGCACATTAATTACTCAGCGGCTGTTGAGGCGGGAATCTAATTAGCTTAGCGACAAGGCGTCTGCCATTGAAAGCAAGCGTCGTCCATTAGATTAATTGTGCCGCGAGGCTATACTTTTACAGTTAGTTTCTAGTGGCACAGCGATCCATTAGCACAGATATATATTTCAATTGTAATTGCATATCGACGCCACAATTCGTGTTTAGTCATTGCAAATCGCTGGGCGGAAGGGGCATTTAAATGAATAGCTCGAGGCAGGCTACGAATACCGGGAATAACGATTAACTAAAAATAAATAAACCTAATGGAAAATCAACCTAAACGAACCCTTTGACATTCGATTGTGAATGCTAAACAAGTAAAACAACTTTCGAGAAAGAGTTGATCTTAATTTGATGATTTGAGCACTCCATTTCGCTGAATAGTGAATTATTCAAATCCCAATATTATATAGATGAAATCTATTTCGAGTAAATCGAGCCTATATATAACGCTCAGTTGTTTTGCCCCCACACATGATGATGAAAACCCTTTTTAAATATTAATGCAATTGTTGTTGGGATGAGAGTGAACATGAATTTCGCTGCTAAAACCAAGGGAATCTCAGTAAGTCAATCAATATTATAGATTTTTCAGGTGAACAAACAAAAGTTCAGCTCAGTGCTCAGCTTTTTTCGGTTTGAACAATAGAATCATGGTCATCGCATTTTCGAATTTTTGCCTTTTATATTGGGCGTTAGTTTTTTATTCCCTGAACTAATTGAAAATGGAAATGTAAGCAAAAGGCAGAAAGAGTTGTGAGATATAGATTTGTTGATTTGTTTTTCCGTCTCATCGTCCCTCCGTTCGCCCTTCCATCCGTTCAACTCTCCGTCCGTTCATCCCTCTGTCTGTTCGTTCTTTCGTTTGACCGTCCGTTCGTCCCTTTCCCCTGTTCTACAGCTGTCTGTTTGTTCGCCCATCTATCCATCCGTAACAATTACCTTTTCGTCCTTTTTCCCTATATTTTATTTCCTACGTTTCTATAAACTACGATTTAACATTTTTCTTATCAAGTCTAATCTGAAGTGCATAAAAGCTAGATCATAACTGTTTTTAGATACCAAATATTTATAATTTAGGTACATTTCAAGCAATATGTATTTAGTATATTTCCATTTAAGAACTATAGCTCATAGCTACTAGCTCTTACTTACTTACTAAATATATTTACTCAATCTCTTTAGCTATCTCTTTGGGCTATATTCTAATCTCTGTATTCTCTACTCTTTTTCCAGCTGGTTGCCCAAGTCGGCGATGCGACCCGTTGGCGCCGATGCCTCGCACTCGGACTGCATTCTGGTCGTTGGCGTCTCCCGTCCAAAGCTGGCCGTTGTCTTTCTAACGGTCATGCTGATCTCATTGTTTCTCACGTTTCACGTGCTGTACGACAGCGCCGTCTACAACATACAGGCAGCACAGGCGGTGCACGAACGGCACCGTCTCTCACTGGCCGCATCGGCATCGGCTGCCGCCTATACCGCATCGAATGCCAATCATTTGCCCGTGTTTGTGAAGCCCGTGGCCAGCTCGAATCAGCTGAGTCATCCCATGGTGTTTCCCTCCAGCCGCGTACACTTCCCCAAGACCAGTCGACGTCTGCCCCAGGTAAGCCCAGGCGCCCCGCCCCGTCTGCGTCTACAACTGAGTGTCTGTCGAATTACCCGAACACCGATAATTGCTGCAATTTGCATTTTGCACTTCAATTACAGGCCCTGATAATTGGCGTACGCAAGTGCGGCACTCGGGCCCTGCTCGAGATGCTCTATCTGCATCCGCGCATCCAGAAGGCGGGCGGCGAGGTGCACTTCTTCGACCGCGATGAAAACTATCTGAGGGGCCTGGAATGGTATCGCAAGAAGATGCCCCATTCGTTTCGAGGCCAAATAACCATCGAGAAGAGTCCCAGCTACTTTGTCTCACCGGAGGTGGGTGGAAACATTTTTGCACTCACTTTGATGTCGTAATTGGCAATTAGGCCCGTCCGCTGCACATGACCGACCCTAATTATTAATTAACTGGCCACGCCACTGACTAGAGGACATGCAAAGCATCTATACCTAGATAGATATAGATATAGATATATACATATTTATAGGTATATATGTGTATATATATTTAGTCTCTGGGAGCCACAGATTGCATCGACATTTATCAAATTAAAGCGAAACGCAGTCAATGTTCAGCTGCCCTCTCGCTCTCTGCTACCCTCTCTCTCTCTTTCTCTCTCTCTCTCACTTTCTCTGCAGCTTGTCTCTTTGCCAATTTCCGTATTCCACTCTCGTGTCCATGTCCGTGTCCGTGTCCATATCCAACCAATTTTGGCAGCGGAAATGTTTGCAAATTCATTTGCCAAACGGCGTCATCTAACACACATCGTGCCCCGCCCACGATGGCCATACGCCCACTAACTGGTTCAGGTGGTTTTCGAACTGCAGTCTGTTTTAATATTGTTTCCAATACCCTGCACGGCTGCCAAATGGGTGTCAAGAGTTAGTTAACCTTTTAAGCTTTTAATTTTCAGCCAACAATCAAACAATTTTATGGTGTAAATATTTAATTAGTCTACACGGGAGTTTAATAGGACAAGAGTTGACTATATTTTAATAGGGTATATAGTAGGTTTATATATTAGTTAGTGCTCGCAAATCTAGTAAACTATATCTTTTTATCTACAATTGTTTATATTTTCTTTCCTTTTATCTGCTATCTGTCTTCCATCTCTTATCCCCTATATAACATGGTCCATCTTATATTTCCCATCTTTAATTTTCCATTTTCCATATTGTATGTCCTGTTTCCTGTCTCCTATCTCATATCCCCTATCTCTAATCTTCTATCTTCTATTTCCTACCTCCTATCTCCTATCTCCTATCTCCTATCTCCTATCTCATATCCCCTATCTCCAATCTCCTACATTCTATCTCCTATCTCATATCTCCTATCTCCTATCTCTCTATTTATGTGATCCTGACTGTGTTCAATAAGTAAAGGGCATAATAAATTCATAAGAATTTTATTTTCTGTCCAGGATAACTGTTTGCCGCATAGTTTCACGCAAACCAGTCTTAACCTTTTTTCTTGGAACAGCATTTTTTATTCTCATTGCTGCCTGTTGCCCGCTGAGTGCCTCTGTTGCTGCTCCTGCTGTTCCTGCCGCTCCTGCTGCCGCCGTTGCAGTTGATGCTGATGCTGATGCAATTTGCTGGTCGAGCCGGATGTTCCATGTGTCAGTGAAATTGAAGCCTTCAGCTGGGAGAGCGGGGTAGAGCTGATAGCCAGGGCAACCGGCGGGTGGGTGGTTGGCGTTGGGTGGTCGCCGTTGCTGGGAAACTGGGATTTGGCTGGTGTCATGGCAATGCAATAATTCATTCAGTTTATGCTTTCAATTTGCAGCTGGCTTGCAGTTTACAGTTGGCAGTTTGCAACTGTTCTTGTGTATAAGCTCATTCTATGTTCCATTCCATTCCGTTCCATTTGTTAAATCTTCATTAATGCCATGATTAATATTTATTGGCATACGCTCTGGGGGCAAGATAGCGAGAGAGAGAGAGAGAGAGAGAGGAGAGAAGCTGATAGAGAGATATATAGAGTGAAATATAAACTGACTGTTAGCTGTCCTTTGAGAATGATGCGGTGTCCAAGCACGCTCTCTCTTTCTCTCTCTCTCTCGCTCTCGCTCTAGATAATTGTATTTTATTTAAATTTAAAGTTACTCGTCGCATTTGCAGTACAAAATTAGCCACGCGTCCATAAATAATGCAGATCCCAACGGTGTGCTTGCGCTTTCACACAGCATGGGAATGAGTGAGTGAGTGAGCGAGAGAGACAGGCAGGATGAGGAGTAGTAAGAGGTAGGGCAGGTAGGCAGACAGCGAGTCGAGTTGGAGTTGTGCAGACATGAAAGCGCTAATATTTACATTTACCCGGGCTACTTTATAAATTGCATGCATACAGACAAACACACACACACACATATATATATATATATATTTATATATTTTTACATGTATACAAATATTTATTTGTATATGCATATAGTTTATATAGCCGTTTGTTCCTTTTGTGTGTGTGTGTATGTGTGTGTGTTGGCAGAGTTTCAACAAAAGGCCGATGCGGTCGGTTTTTCTGGTTCATCTAGATGAAATTTTTCACGTCGCTTGCACTTGTTGCATACTTCATGGACAACAACAGCTCCTCCACCACACGGCGCCCCCTGCCCCCCACATTGAAATTGATTAACTTTATTTAGCTTGGCTCGTTGGTTATTTAATTAATACTCTGTGCACACATAGCGCTGAGTTGGTGGGCTATGCTCGATTAGTTAGAGAACTTTATGTAGAATTCAATATGATGTATTCTACTACATACTAATGTTGATACTAAATGCTAATACTAGTGCTTCGTCTATACTACTATTCTATCTATCTAGTCTGCCCCTTCTCTACTAATATTCTACCACTACTGAATTGCTCTTTCTCTATTATTAATACTCTACTTTCACTAGCTCAACTAGTCAATTACTATTCTACTCTACTACTATTCTACTATTAATATACTACTATTTTACTATTAATTGACTTCTGCTGTGCTACTACTATCGACTACTGCTGTACTACCATTCTACTCCTACTCTACTACTATTCTACTACTTATCGACTACTGCTGTACTACTATTCTACTGCTAGTACTACTACTGTACTGCTATTCTACTACTACTATCACTGTACTACTACTACTACTACTAATCTTTTACTACCACTACTTAACTACTATTCTGCTACTATTCTACTACTATTTTACTACTAATTTACTGGACTGACTTTAATGATTTTCTCAATGTTTATTAAAACTGTTTACTCTAGGATATTGCATATGTCTATCAATTATGTATGTATAATATATTCGTGCATATATCTGAGCGCCTCAATGCCTGCGCTGTGGCATCGACGACGATATGCTTCGGCCATGTTTTCCGTTTAAATTTTATTGTTCTCGGCGCACAGAGTGGAGGCTGTTTGTTGGCTGCCTGTAAATTCATTAGTCGCTTAACTGCACCCCAACATAACTTGGCATTATGCGCGATATATAGATATATAAAATATACAATATATGTATATATAGAGTATATACATATATAAGTATTCAGCTTAAAGTATCAGCAATTGGAGTATTAATATATTGTTTTCTCTCTGGTATTTTACAGGTGCCAGAACGTGTGCGTGCCATGAATGCTAGCATCAAATTGCTCTTGATTGTGCGTGAGCCGGTGACCCGAGCCATCTCGGACTACACACAGTTGCGTAGTCATGCGGCCACAGCGATATTGCCGCTGGCCGAGAGCAATGCACCTGGCTCGGGCTACGGTGCCAAGATGCCGCCTACGGCAGGAGCCTCGCTCTATGCCAAGCTGCAGTCGGCCCATGGCCCCTATGACAATGCCCTGGGCAGCGGTGCAGGCGCTAAGGAAACCAAGCTGAGAACAGCAAGCGGAGCTAAAAGACGTGCGGCTCCAGGGGCTGCAACAACAATGAGCACGCCCACCACCACGCCCAGTGCAGCGCAGTTGGCGGCAAAGTAAGTAGAGACAGAGAGAGAGAGAGAGAGAGAGAGAGAGAGAGAGAGAGGGAGAGATGACTTTAATATGATTTATACTGTTAATTGCTTTATTTTTAGATCCTTTGAGGAGCTGGCCATATTCCCGAATGGCACTGTCAACGAGGCCTATCGCCCCCTGAGCATCTCCATGTATCATGTGCACTTGCATCGCTGGCTGGAGGTGTTTCCGCGCGAGCAGCTGCTGGTGGTCAATGGCGATCGTTTGATCGAGGATCCGCTCTCTCAGCTGAAGCGCATCGAGGCATTTCTAGGTAACTACATTTATCCACATATGTTTAGTCATATATACTATATATTCTTTCTATGATTTATGCAGGCATTGAGCATCGCGTGCGCAGCGAACACTTCTATTTCAATGAGACAAAGGGTTTCTACTGCCTGCGCTACGATAATGGCGATCGTTGCCTGCGCGAGACCAAGGGACGCAAGCATCCGCATGTGAATCCGGTGGTGGTGTCGCGTTTACGCAAATTCTTTGCCGAATACAATCAGCGGTTCTATGAGCTGGTTGGCGAGGATCTTGGCTGGCCGGAGGAGTAACTGAATACGGAGAAACATGGACTGAAACGAAATGGAAATGGAAATTGAAATGGGAAACACCAAACAACATTTTCCGGACTGCACTTTAATTATAAACCAAAAAAGAAATACAGCAAAAAAGAAAATATATATATATATGCTGTGCGTGCAGTAGCTGGGACACGCAGCAGGGCAGCATCCTTCCCTCTCGCTCGCCTCCTCCTCTCTGTCTCTCTGCGTCTCTGTCTGGCTGCATGCCAACCAGGCTGACAGTTCAATTATGCGAACTTCGGCGCCCACGAAAATGCTTTATGCGAAAAAAAGAAGCACCAAACGCAGATTTTCAGCAGCGCAAACAGAGAGAGAGAGAGAGAGAGAGAGGGAGAGAGACAGGCAGTGAGTGTGAGGGAATGAGACGCAGCAAAGCATGAAAATGCATTGGAAATGGAAAAAATAATATATTAAAGCAATATCTACATGATGTATGGGAGCTGTCCAAGGGCGAGACAAAAACGGAAAGAGAAAGAGAGAGAGAGAGAGAGAAAGCTGTAGAGAGCTGAAGCGTATGCATGTGTGTGTGTGAGAGAGATAGAGTGTGTATGGATTAATTTATTTAAGCAACTAAATGTGATTTTATAGAAACTAAGCGTTAAACAAAATGCAAATTAATTTGAAATTTATTTCAAAAAACTAAAAAATTTATTTAGAAAAGAAAAAAAAAAAACTGTCGGCTGATTTAAAAGTGTGCAGAAAAGAAAAAAAAAATAAGCTAATTTAATATATCAATTATACATAGCTAAATCGCAAACATATCGGAGCTACTCAACCTTAAGTATATCCATATATATATGTATATCGTATATATATATATAATTAGTCAAACGTAACATATCAAAAGAAGATGAAAAATCAACCATGAACTCAAAACATATCAGCGAAATGCTAAAGATTCTACAAAATAAGACATTATTTATATATACAAAATATTTATAAATATAATATAATTATATAGTATATTAATGAATATTATATGAACTAGTTGCTTAAGTTTGTATTCGATTTGTTAATTGTTATGCATATTATTTAGCAGCAAAATCCATTGAGTCAAATTTGTCAACTAGTTTTTTAGCTTTAAACAAACATACCTAAACAAAATAAAAATTAAAAAAAAAAAAAAAAAAACATATCAAGTCCTTAGACAAATTTAACTAGTTAAATGCACTGCCTGAAAAAATATATATACGTATATATACTATGCACCAATGTAATAAAATTTTAGGATTTTTTAAAACAAAATTTTTTAGCAAAAGTTTATTTGTAATTATTTAGACTAAAAAGATATATATATATACATTATAAAAAAAAAAAAAACTAAAAAAATTACATACTGTAAACAGTTTAAGATATATCTACATATATATCATATACATACATACATTTTCATGTACTTTCGAAACTAATTGTGAAAAATACCAAAAAAATACTTAATGCATATCAACTCAATGTGAGCAATTTAAATTAAGCTAATGAAAATACTATCCATACATATACATATATATACATATATATTTATGGGTGTATTTGTAATATAACTAATAATAATCATCTACTATAATGACCCAACGTAACGGTTTAATTTTTAAGTTAATTCTATGTTTAGTTAGTTTCAATACATTTAAGTGCTAGTTTTTAAGGGATCTTCAGCACAGAAAACGCAGCCAAGCACACATAGAGACACATACACAGACACACTCTATAGACTTCTAGAATTGTTCAAAACAATCCAAACACAAATACATACACACACATACACACACATACACACACAAATACACACAATTCAGAGGAGTTGAAAACACCTTAAATAATACTAAATCTATTCTATGAAAAAGCAAAAATAATTTCCAATGAAATCAAGTAAGCAATATCAAGTCAAAAAATATATGTATAACAAAAAAGAACAAGACTGAAGGTCCTCCGCAGAATGTTTTCTCAATTACTTACGTTTCAAATAATACCACAAAAAATACCAACAACAAATACCAATCAACCATATATACATATAGGTAGCAGCGAACAACGAACAACGTTTATAATTTGTTATATTTTTATACAACAAAACCAAAAGAAAGAGAAACCGAAACAAAATACCAGTAAAATACCGAAATTTGTTTTTGTGTGCTGAATTTAGTATCTATATATAAACAACATATACATATAGTTGATGTATATGAAGTTAACCTTTATCCTTTGAACTATGCCAATTAAATACCATAGTACATAAATATCAAATGTTTAACTCAACTCTAAAGCCTCCAATCGACATTGATATATATCTATGTATATATATATACTGATGTATTATTGTCTACTTAAAAATTTAAATATGTATGTGTATTTACATGAAAAAAAGAAAAAGATAAACAACAAAGCTAATCTATAATGTACCTTAAAACAAAAGCAAAGAAAACAACTATGTATATTTCTTAAACTTTCAACTCTCTTGACTCTTATTCAAATTTTCAATGTATATGACATAAAGAACATACGTTACGATACGAAACATATCAGCAAACCGCAAACGATCATTCAATAAACAAACGATATTATTCAATTTGTGTGACAATTTAACAGAAATCAACATTTTAAAATTACAAAAAGAAATAAATAAAGAATTAAATTTTACGCATGCAATGAATAAATGTATTAAAAAAAAATTGCCAAAATGTATGTGAATGGGCATTTTTGCACACGCTACCAGGCCAGGGGTTAAGGCATTAGCTAATATTCAAACCACTCACAAATCGCTGCCTGCTCAAGTGTATAAGGAATTAGTCAATACACAAACCACAAAGACAGCTTCGAAACCGAAACTTGAAACACTTACATACATAGCTTATTACGTATTGCCTGGCAGCGGGTTAATATATTTGCACAGAATTTTAGCCAATACACAAACCAATACCAAAGTTTTTTTGCGAAAAGCTTCCGCATAGGGAGAAAAAATTATGCGCAATTTAAGCACAAAGCTTAATGAAACATTCAGTTTTAGCTTGCTTGCGCTGGTGTGCGGTTTGTTTGTGATATTTACGAAAGTTGCGGATATTGAACAATTGTTTTTGAATACTATATAGTAATCTAAACTTGTTTAGAATTCTTTTCTAAGTGCATTTAATATGTGGAAGTCCAGACTGACCATTAAACAGCTAGGCAATAAGAGCCAGCTGATCAGGGGGCGGCTTTTTAGTGTGGGCAGTGCGCTTCAGCAGCAGTCGCAGCCGCAGCAGCAGGTGAGTAACAGCTGAGTGCCAAAGAGAGTGTGAATCGAAAAGAGCGCGTGAATGGATATGTAGATGAGTGAGAGTGAGATTGAGATTGAGAGAGAGTGCTTGAGTAAGCTTTGAAAACAAACAATCAGACCCGCTTGGAAATTTACTGCAATACAGAACCATTGGGAGGAACTGTTGGAAACAACGCCAATACGCAGCGATGAGGAATGGATGAAGGCGAAAGACTATTCAGACCTGCCGGGGCCAAGTGCTTTACGTCTACTATCCTACTTTCTGCCAGGCGGTAAGAGTTCTTATATGAAATATTTCAAATTTCACTTTCATGTGCTTATTTTAGGTAAACTACACAACACGAACCTCGTACAAATGAATCGTCGCATGCGTGAGTGGTACGGCGATATATATCGTCTGCCCGGCTTGATGGGAAAAACTGACGTTGTGTTCACCTACAACCCCAAAGACTTTGAGGTTACCTACAGAAATGAAGGCTTGTGGCCTATACGCATAGGTCTAGAGACCTTTACCTATTATCGCAAAGTGGTTCGCCCAGATGTTTTTGGCGGCATTGGGGGGCTAGTATCCGAGTGAGCATTATTTAAAATAAAACATTGATATGATATTCATATATTTTCCCTTTCGCATATAGACAAGGCAAATCCTGGGCAGAATTTCGAAATAAGGTGAATCCGGTGTTGATGAAAGTGCAAAATGTCAGACAGAATCTGCCGCAAATCGATCAAATTTCCAAGGAGTTTATAGAGAAGTTGGTAAACTAATTCAAGTCTAGCTCTCCATTTAATATTTGTATTTCGCTTCTAGATTGGAAACTTTACGTGATCCATCAACGCACACCCTGAACGCTGACTTTCATGAGCAGCTCAAGAGTTGGGCCTTTGAGGCGATTAGTTTTGTGGCTCTAAATACTCGCATGGGTTTACTGAGCGATCAGCCCGATGCGAATGCCTCACGCTTTGCAGAGCATATGACGGACTTCTTCAACTATAGCTTCAAGTACGATTTACAGCCATCGGTTTGGCCGTATTACAAGACGCCGGAGTTTAAAAAGTTCCTTAAGACCTACGATCATATCACTGAAATTACGACTAACTATATAGAGGCGGCTATCGAGCGATTCAAGCATGAAGAGCAACCGGATAATAAATGCGTTCTACAGCAGCTGTTGGCTATCAATAAACAGGTGGCTGTGGTCATGGCCATGGATATGCTAATGGCTGGCATAGATACGGTGCGAATTGAGTTTGTTATCTTAATTAGATATTCCTTGTAATACAACTCCAATTGCAGACCTCTTCAGCCTTTGTGACCATTCTCTATCATCTCGCTTGTAATCCCGAGAAGCAAGCACAGCTGCATCGCGAGCTGCAGCGGACTTTGCCCAGCCCCGATGATGCTTTGACCTTGGAGAATACCAAAAATCTGCCCTATCTGCGCGCCTGCATCAAAGAGGGTCTGAGGATTACGTCCATAACGCCGGGCAACTTTCGCATTGCCACCAAGGATCTGGTGCTATCCGGCTATCGTGTACCGCGCGGCACGGGCATTCTCATGGGCGTACTGGAGCTCTCCAATAGCGACGAATACTTTGCGAGCAGTGCGCAATTTGTGCCCGAGCGTTGGCTCAAATCGGACATAAATGTGGAGACGAAGGTGTGTCCGGAGGCACGTAATCGGAACCCGTTCGTTTATTTACCCTTTGGCTTTGGACCACGCACATGCATAGGCAAACGCATCGCTGAGCTGGAAATTGAGACGCTGCTGGCTCGGCTGCTGCGGCGCTACAAGGTCAGCTGGCTGGCAGAGACGCCGCTGCAGTATGAAAGCACAATCATCCTCTCCCCACGTGGGGACATACGGTTCAAATTCGAGCCGCACTCTGATTAAAGAATTGATGACAAAGCTGTGGTAAGTTCTTGATGTTTACTTTCTGTATAAGGCTAACAATATGGGAAGTAAGTAAAGAAACTATTTAAGAACAAGGATTTAGGGTAGAGGATATTGAGGTATAGGCTAGGCTATATGGAGCTATATTCGCTTAGCGTCGATTGCGTCCGCGATAACGCTGATGAGGATGGTTGTAGTGCCGTTGCTGCTGTTGCTGCTGCTGCTGCTGCTGTTGCTGTGGTTGCTTGAGTGGGGGCTGCTTGGCTGAGGGCGGCGTATCCTGTTGCTCGAGGGAATGGGCGAGAGCAATGCACTGCCTGGTTGCCTCCTCCAAATCGGAGCCAGCTGAATGTATTTCGTCTAGCTCAGAGTTGGGCGTCGAGTGGGCTGTGTGTGTGTGTGTGTGTGAAAGAGGAGTCAATTATTGGGGTAATTGATTAGCAAATTGATGTGGGGAGGAACTACTAAGTACTCACTGGGGACCGCATTGATAATGACATTACGCAACACAGACTGGCTGACAAAGTCGGAATTGAAGGTGTCGGGCGAACCTGTGAAATATTGAATATATATATTACACTATGAATTGGAAGCGACTAATTAAACGAACCAATCGGACTATAGAAAATATCTTCAGAGGAGGTGGCAGGCGTTAGGGTCTCAATGGTGGATTGATCTACACTCTCAGCGGATTGATCTAGATGGGCGGGCAACAAGGTCGGATAATCTGGCATGACGAGCGTTGGGATCTTAGTGGATTGAGCTGGACTGGCAGGTTTTAATATCTCTGCAGTGGATGGATCTGGGTTGACAGGCGTTGGGATCTTTGTGGCTTGAGTCTCTACAGTGGGTTGAGCTGTAATCTCAGTGGGATCAGCCACATGAGGATCAGCTGAGTGGGAGGTATCGGTGTCTTGTTGCTGCTGGGGGCAGACGGTACTTGTGCTGCTGCTATCCGTATCGGAGTTCGTGCTGGAGTTGGAGTTCGAATTGGAGTTGGAGCTCGAATTGGAATTGGAGTTCGAGTCGGAGTGGGAACTGGAGTTGATGTTAATGGAATCAGGCACAGGATCAGGTTCATTGGGTTCAGTATCAGTGTGGGAGCTGTTGCTGCTCGTGGACTCAGTGTTGGCTATTGTGTTTGAACACATGCACAGAATAACAAAAACAAAAGCAAAATACTAAAGTTTAAAATGTTAACCCAAAATCCAAGATTGGGGATGCTTGAAATTACCTGCAGCTGCTGTATTATTGTACAGTCGCGTGTTCAGCAAGGCGGCGCTCAAGTGTCCGGGCGAGGACTTCCATTGCTCCTCCTTCAGGGCAGCTAAATGTGAGTAGAAAGATAGGGTATGTCAGGGCAGGGTTCTGGGTTAGGCAAATGAAGAGCTTGTTTCGGGGCACAATTATTATTATTATTATGTATTTCAGTTTATCGTTTCAACTATCAAAAAGAAAACTTCAAAAAAATTCTTAGACTTAAATCGTTAATCGATACTTGCTATTAAACTAGGACTTAGACTTAGTTGTGTCTATATATGCTGAAGGGGGTCTGTCTGTTGACTTTGCGTGTGTGTGAGTGTGTATATGTGTGTGTGTGCAGTTGTGAGGGTGTGCGTGTATGTGTGTGTGGGTGTACTAAACAACAGAGAGCTAGAGACGAAGTTCAATATCCATTACCAACTTCCATCGGTTCCCTTTCATTGCCATTGCCGTTGCCCTTGCCTTTGCCATTGCCATTGAGCGTGGCCTGTGGTTCCTTCGGCTTCTGCACATTATTTGCAGTGGCTTTATTAGGTTTGATGTTCTCCTTGTGCTAGCGAGAGAGAGAGAGAGAGAGAGAGAGAGAGAGAGTTACTTAAAGCTCTATCAAAATATTCTTTATATCTGATCTACCTGATCTGCCTGCTCTTGCTCCTCGGTGCTGCTGATCTGCTCGCTGCTGTTGGATTCACTTTCGCTCTCGCTACTGGTGCCGCTGGTCGTGTTCTCATCCTCGGCATTCGGCACGAAGTCCGAATCATCCTCGGAGTTCTCATTGGCATATTTAGAGAGCATCTCATCAATAGTTAAATTATGATCGGGATTTAAGTCGTCATCACGCGGACGCTTAGCGACGCTTTCATTCTTCTGGTTACTCTGAATGGAATTAGAATTTTATGAGCTCAACATTTCAGAGAGTTGCACCCCTTCTCTCTTACCTGTTGCGTGTTCGTTGCCATGGCACGTGAATTGAAGAGTCTGCCGGTATTGGCGCGCTGCACACCTGGTCGACAGATGGCACGTGAGACCCATTGGCTGAGCTTTTCAGCGTAGCTGTTGCTGCTCGCTCTGCTCGAGGACTCCTGCTGCCTATTGCGCATAGTCCTCAGGCCATGGACGCGAATGGCGCGCAGCTTGCGGCGACGCGTTTGTATAAAGTATATCATATCCGTTGGCGTCACGGGTCCATTGCCTATCATCAAGGCACCAACTGACAGCCAGATGCGCACCAGGCGCAGCACAATGATCAGCAGTAAGAATGGAGCCCAGGGCAAAGGACGTTCCAGCACAGCGGAGCTCGAGTTCTTATCTAGGGAGAGAAGAGGAGAAAGAGAGAGAGAGTGAGAGGAGTAGATTAAAATCTAGTTGATCTCTTTACTAACTGCTTAGCTAATTCTTACCCTGCGGCAAACTCCATTTGGTTGTATCTTCGATCAGCTTCAAGCCACGATCGGCCCTCTCAATAACGAACTGACCCAGTCGAGTGCTGGCAAATCGTTCCACCTGCTCACGCACCTTCTGATAGAAGCTGGGCGGTCGCTGCAGTTCGCTGACTTCATCATCACCGATCACATCGTGCTGCGTATGCTGATCTTTAACCCCCATCGTTGTCTCCTGTGCCATGCTGCGGATGCTGCTTCTGCTCTGCTCTGCTCGGCTTGCTATGATTAATGACATATTTTATTTAATTATATATTATAAATATATTAAGTGTATGTAATAAATACTCTCCCAGGGGGCCTTTCAATTCATTCAATGAGCATTGTCAATAGGCGAGTACGCAATGCTGCTATAAGCTCAATAAATATTTTGAAGAGTTTTGATTCCTGCTTTATTTTACATATATATTTCTGAGCTATAGATCTGATCTGATATATATAATCTATATATCTCTATATATCTGTTTCAATATTTAGTCTTGACAACTTTGTCTCATCTCTCATCCTGCCCTACCAATATCGGTATTTCTTAATGATATACATAAATGTCCTACCATTCGAAGCTGTACTGTAACATATTTACTTTTAATCCTTCTATGCGACATCCTCGAGACATTTAACTCTCATTAATACATGTGTTCATATACATACATACACACAAACATATCATTTCATATACATCTATAATATAACTATTTGTGCTAATCCTAAATGATTCAATTCGAGCTGTGACAGCATTTGCGGCGTGATTGGATGCTGACAACCCCAAGAGCGACCCGTACTACCTCTATAAGTAAATAGGTAGGTATAACTGACACCGTCTGACATCGCGTCTCTCAGCTCATGGCCAATGCGCTATATATTGAATATTCATATTCATATTTCTATTCGCATTATCAGCCAGCAGCATCGTGTCGCATCGCACTTTTCATACACTTAAATGCAAATAATGGAAAAAAAAAGAGAAAGAAATTTATTGCTTTTATTGTATATTTGTTTTTGTATTTGTTGGCTGTCTGGCAAAACTAATGGGAGCTATCAATAGCTGTAGAGATCTTCAGCTTTCCGGCTCAGTGACTAACAACAAAAATCAAAACAAATTAAGTAATATATATATATATTTAGACTTGTATGTGTATAACAAATTGAACTTTGTTCTAAAGCCGGGAATGCTCTGAATAGTTGGCTCCAGCTTGGTGATAAGTGAAATGTGATTATAGAATACTCTTAATATATAGTTAATATATTCTAAATATATGAGATACTTTAGAAATATATAGTAAATATAATGAAGATAAAATCTCTCCTGCATAAACATGTGTCCATGAAAATAGTAGTGCTACTGAGTGGTAAATATTGGAATACTCTTGCGGTGCAACTATAGCTCTATATATAGAGAGCGATATGCTTTATAAAGTGCGCCACATTTAATGACTAAAAGAGTATACCCTTTCACAGTCTACATATATTATAGGGTAAAGCCTACTCATAGCTAAGCTAATCTGTTAATTAGTGTGAATAATAGGTAAATATTAATAGTTCATCGGTGCTACAGACTCATTTCTAATCTGCGAAATTTCGCTCGCATGCTTAACGAAACAATTTCGCATTTGGCGCATTTCGAGCCTAAATCATTTCCAAATACAAATATTTATTATAAACATTTACATATGCATGGCGTTTAATTTGATATTTATAGCGCTTATTGCATCGTCCAACACGAAAAAAAGTGCGAAAAAAAATTAATGAAAAAAGAATAAAAAAAAAAAACAAATTAAATAACAAATATAATAAAATTATCAAAATGTATTGGCGGGATCAAAGTGTATCGAAAACTGTATGCAAAAGCAACGACTGCACACGCATATACAAACGCAAAGTCACTCATACTCACACACATACGTAGTCAAGCACACATGGATCTAGGCATTTAGATGGCAAAGCGGGAAAGAGATAGCTGCATGGGAATGTAAGGCAACAATGCAGTCAGAACGAAAGTAGAAATTGCGAAAAGTGCAAAAACTAACTGCGACGTTGACAGAGAGAGACAGACAGAGAGTGGAAGAGAGAGTGCTTGAACTCCAACATCAGAGTTGTCCTCTATTGCGCTCCTCTCGCCCGCCTACACACTGAGATAACGGTTGCCGTAGATTAAATGGCGTACAAGAAATAGCCTAACAAAGCGCACAGCCGATTACAGCATGGACTTACCGGTGTTTCTTTTCTCTTGCACTTGTTAAAGCTTTTACTTCTTTCCAGCGAATTTTTCGGCGTTCCCTTTTGCCGCTCTTTTTTAAAACATGCGTGACAGCCGTTATACTTAAATTATTTTCTTAACAAAAATTTGTATAGATGATTTTGCAAAAGGCACTGAAGCAATCGACTGGCAAATAGACCTAACGAACGGTTGCACAACTCCCGTGTGACTGACCAAGGCAGCACTAGCCGAGCGCTGAGCCACCGGGAGCCTAGACGATCGGTAATTGCCGAATGCCGTTATCAGAAGAGCACAGCGCAACGAAGAGCACGAGCTGCGCTCAGCGCTCAGCACAGAGCAGCACGAAAGAGAGGCCGACTAGCTATTTTAAGTAGAGCTTGCTGGAAGGATATAACTGTAAACTTTGAGTCGCTTGAAGTTGGGTACATTTACACTCGGCGGGAATTAGAGCGCGGTTAGAGCATAGCAGTAGAGCAGCAGAGCAGAGCCCTTGGGCTGAGTGGAATGCACAAAGCAGTGGCGCCGCCACAAAGCTCAAGTGGCTGCTTGAAAGAGTACGCACATTTAAGCACAGGTTAGACAGGTGTTAGTGCAAATAGAATGATAACAGATGCGTATTAAATAAAAATTTAGACACATTGCCACTGCCATTTGTTACATTCGATAATATGTACACACACAGCAAACAGAGCTATTTATTTGGCTACTTGAAGTGTATGAGCTTTATCTCATCCTATTGAGCCGCCAATTTATTATCCTGTTTACAGGAGCCGCCCACAATGGACACCCACAAAAAAAAAAATCCAAAACGAAAACAAAAATAACAACTCAACGAGGCCTACTACTACTACTACGACAACACTCAATTGTCGCTGCGCTGAGCGCAACACACAAAATTTCGTGAGCTTTCCGACCTACTGCGAGCGACAAAAAGCTCTCAGCGGAAATTCAGTTGCGCAAAAACTCTCCACGTTGCCGGACGCAGCAACACGGCAAAACGGAGCGTTTGCCAAGCAAAGCGAAGTGAAGAGCGCGCCTTTTGTGCTCTACATGCGACTTACGCAGCCTAAATAGGGCTCAGTCCAAGCGCCATTCAATTCATCTCGCGTGTGTTCCAAAGCTGCAGGATAAAAGGGCAGCTACTGCAATTAGTGCCAGAGTGTGTGAGAATGTGTGTGTAAAGTGTAATGTGCAGTGAATGAAGCTGAAAGCAAATCAAAGCTTGTTTTTACAAGTGAAAAAAGACAGAAAAAACACAGGAGTTGCGGCAGCAGCATCAGGCGGCGGCGCCTCCGAAATGTGTCGATGTAACCAGCAACAAACGAATCAACGCGCAAGCAACTGAGGCGCCCATCCATCACGAAATCCTCAAAAATTATAGTTCATTTGTATTGGTGCCGAGTCGCGTGCCTGTGAGCACACACGCACTCACTCTTATATACTCACACACGCTAACGCTTGGCCACTAAACATGCGTAAGTAATAAGTAAAATAAAAATACACTCACACACACACACACACACGTATTCACTTTGAGGGCTTATGAAAAATGGTTTTCCGCTTTTGCCAAAATTGATAGAAAGATGTTGACACAGTGGAGGAGCCTAGTAAAGGTAACGGGTTCATCGCTTGCCCTCTGCCACCTACCCCCGCCCCTGCCGCTGCAACAGCAGCTGTTTGTGTATGCGAATATTTAAAGCAGCTTAAAGTGGTGGCAAGCTGTAATGCGTTATCCTTCAGGCACTCGCTTGACTCGCTTCCACACGTGGCCCCGGCTTGCTCGGAGCCAGCTAAGCTCGCAGCTTTGAGCCCTACTCGAGAGTGGGGCATGTTTAGCATGCTATGGCCACAGTCGCAGCCGCAGCTACAGCCAGAGCTAGAGCCAGAGCCAGAGCCAAGCTATTACTGTGAGCTATTTTTATGCACTGTGCGGGCAAAAATTAGTTGGCGCATAAATTTGTGGAACGAGAGGGGCTTCACATTTTGTAAAATAAGCAAATGTTAGAAAAGGAATAGGAATTGAGAAGAAATGTGTGTGGAATGTGCAGAGAAAGAGATAAATAAATGTGGCACTAAAAAGGAAGTGAATAAAACATGTAGACGAGAGATGAGAAAAGTGAGAAAGTTCAAGATGCAGAGAAAGAGAGATACATATATATAGACTGAACATAGAGCCGAAGAGAAAGATAAATGAAGATCCATAGTGAAGGAGAGAAGAAAGAAAACGATGAATAAATAAGAAGAAAGTGCGTGAAGAATAGACGAAGAGAGATAAAGGATAGAAAAGGCAACAGCTACTGACGGAGGAGCTCCGATAAAAAACGATATAAGACGTGAGAGCGAGAAGCAACAGAGAAAAACCCAGAAACAGAAAGGAGATAAAGTAGAGAAACTTAAAGACGGCAGAAAATAGAGAGAGTAAGAGGCAAAGACTAACATTATATACATTTGCATGGGATTGTTGCTTCTTGCTTTAGCTGAATTGATTACTTTGTGTCCTGCTTTTGTTTTCACCATTGTAAATACTTTTTAATCTCTCCTCGCTCGCCTTTTTTCATGTTTTTCAATGGGTTAGCCGCTCTGGCGATTCCACGCACAGTCACACGGATATTATTCGTCATGGGGTTATGGCGCCTTAGCATGCCGCAGCACTTCCGCCAAACACACACACACACACACACACACACACATGTATAGTGTATGCATGTTAGCAGAGCTGCGGCACATGCCACAGCTTACGTGCCGCCTGACATTTGCTTATGAATTTCACTTGTGGCTAATATACAATTGCTTACAAATACCCGGAGCCTCCTCTCCACCCGAACTATCCCGAACTCTCCCGCTCTCTTCTCTCTTTCTGCTCTAAGTTTTCTTGGCTGTCGCGTGTCATTTGATTCTAAATTTTTTTTCTCTTTTTAATTATTGCTGCGCGGTCTTTGCCGCTGATAAATTGTGGCATTAGTTGGACGACAACATTTAGCTGTATCTCTCTGTCTCTCCCTCTGTCTCTCTTTCTCTTTGCCGCTTGAAGCTGCCTCCCAATTAGACGCCCATTTGACTTGTCAGCATCTCAGCTGCCGCGACGTGCGGCTGGGCGTGAAGGGGCGTGTCTGTCGCCGCCGCCTGTGGCCTCGACTTGTCATAAGTCTGCTGCCCCACAGTTGCTGTCCCGCTGTGTGCCGCAGCATGCCGCAAGATCTGGCCAAAGCAGACGTCGCCTGATTGAAATTTGCAGTCCTATTCGTAAATTGGCTACATGAGATTTTATGTAAACTGCGAATGCCAACAGCAGTGGACATCGGCATTGTGTCTTGCTTCATTTAAAGGCAGGTGGCAGCTGCCACCCAAATAATGTGGCAGCAACATGAAATGCAAGAGACCAAAAGAGAGAGAGAGGGAGAGAGAGAGACGTATTTATTTGTCGCTTCATCTGCCAGCTGCCAGCCAGAGCACATTTGTTATGCTGCTGCAACATGATACTTACCACCTTGCCACATGCCACTCAGCTGTTTTGTGTTTTTGTGCAAAAGTTTTAATTACTTGCCGTGACATTTCAGCTACAAAGAGCAAAGAGTTAATTAGAATCGGAGCCAAGGCCAAAAGCTGTGCAGTTAGCCCGCACTCTGATTATCACTCACTCACTCACTCACTCTCCCTCTCTCTCTCACTGTCTCTCACTCTATCCCCCACTCTGCCCCTCCATTATGGTCTCTTCACTTTCATCTAATTAAAGCATCAATTTTCATGAGTGACCCGCAGTAATTAACGCCAGCCGCCTGCAGTTGATCAACAATGCACCGATTCTGCTTTCGCATTCATGGAATGGACTTTTATGGCCCTGGCTTAAGTGTGCAGCTTGTGGCATGTCATAAATGGAATGATTTGATGGGTGATTAGCGCGCAGAGCACAGCTACACTGCCAGAAATTTCGAATAAAGTCGTGTCAAGTTTTGTTTTTGTTTTGGCAGCTTATCAAGAGCTTATCATAAAAGTTGAGCTCAGCTTGATAGATGTGTGGCAGTGTGGCAGTGTGTGTGTGAGTGTGTTAAATGTCGGCTTAGGCGCTAAGCAACATTGTTTATGCAACTTCATTATGCTGATTTATTATGACATGCTTGGATTTCCCAACACTTTATCCGCAATTTATTAAATTTGCATGATTACCCAAAAAGGCTTTGCTGAAAGCTTTTTATGTTTCAACTACTTATATGATATCCCTCTATATTCATAAAAACTTTAAGATGCTTTTACAGGAGATGTACACTTTTTTATGTATAGAAATAACATTGATGCAACAGTTTTTATATGATTTTTAAAAAGGTTTTTTATATGCCACATTTGCCCAGCAAAACTTTTACATATTTACAAAGTTGCTTAAAATGAATTTTAAAATTCTGTCTGCAATTAAAACGTGCCAGTAATCCTATCAAAACTCCTTTAATATGCCTAGCTTTTAACAGTCTTTAATGATATTCACAGCAAATTTCCTAAATTTAATAGTGATTTATTTTCGAGCTTGATTAAAAATATAATAACCGGCCAAGCCATGCCAACTCAGTGAACAGTGAAAGCAGATTTCATTTCTAGTTCTCATTCATAGAAAATCGATTTTCTTATTTAATCGCGTTTGATTTGTGTTTTCATACAACTGCAACAGAGCGTTTCAGTTGACTTGGTTTCAGCTGCCTTGATTGCCTTTGATTAAACTCGTTTTCTTCTCTTTTTTGTATTCTCCTCGCTGACTGTGTGAATTATTGCCCCTTCGAGCAGAAAAGAAATCACGGTAATTCACAATACGTATACGCCGTGTGGCAGCGCATTGCTCTCACCTTTACATTACGTATACGCCGCTTAGTCACACTGCTCGCCTTACCTTACAGTCGCTCTTTAATTGCCCTTTGCACGCTATTCTTTTTCGTGCCCTCTTTGTATGCTGTGCTGCAGTTGCACAGTCTGATCTCTTTACTTGCCCCTCCCCTCTCGAAATTGTGTTGCACGCACGAAATTGTAAAGCAATTTGTGCCCCAATAATTTAGCATAGTCAAGTGAATTGTGAAAAGCAGAAAAAGTCCAATAAATTGAAGCGTCTCGGCAACAGCTGTATGCGTCCACAATCTAAATGGCAACAAAATGCGGCATGAATTATTCAAAGCCAAAAACGAGGAAGAAGCAGCTCGAGGGAAACTCATTTGCGTCGCACTTGACTTGAGCAAGTGGAAATTCACTTTTATCCCAAACAACAAAATTTGTTGGCCAAAAAGTTTTGCGGGCTAAAAACATTGTGTAAATTTCTACACGCAAATATATATACACATACATATAAACGTGCATATATATGTAGTATATATCATCATGTTTAATCATAAATTCGAATGGCTTCATCTGGCCAACAGCTGTGTGAAAAAAAAAGAAAAACTTTCATGATTTGTTTATCAACTGCGAAATTCTGTCGCTTGCAATGGGATATATTTATCACAGCTGAATATCTAAATATTCTGATCCATTCACAATGAGCGCTCGTTAAAAACCCAGCTGCTCCTATCAAATTGTATGCCAAAAGAAAACCACAAACTGAATAAAAACACTCACAGCTCCTGCGGAATCGGAACTAAAAAATCTATGGTTTTTGATAAGCGACCACCAACTAGGTTTGCGTGTTAGCCGAACATGCGAATTAAAACACTAAAAACCCGAAAGCCACTATAATCAACAACAACTAGAACTGCTCGAATAACCATAACAATATTGTGCCTAAAATGGCGAAGGGTATGATTTAACTTCTAGCTGGTGGGGCTCTCTATTATGCGGATAGACAAAAGAGATATGCATTAAAGTGAATGGAATGGAATGATTTGGAATGGAAGCGTTACTTTAATTGAGCCATTAGTATAGCTGTTATATGACAATAGAAGAAACTGTCATACATCATAATTATTGGATCTAATAACATAAATGATATAGCATATGGTTGAATAACTATAATAATTAGAGATAGTTAACAGCTTAATTTATGTGCCGTATAACAATTGCTGTGTAGATACGAAACTGTTCTACTAGATATACATATATACTACTATATATATACATATACTTTTATTTGATATACTATTTTTAAATTGCTCTATTAGAACACATAATTCGACTTTTTTTTATATCACATGTTTATTAGAGATTATAATTTTTATAAAATTAAAACTAACTTAAAACTTAAGCACTAACAATTGGGGCCTTCGGCTTGTCATACCTTTATACCTCATTGCATTCTAACTATCCCAAAATCAAGTTTTTCGTCCCTTACTCAGATTAATTGTTAACAATGGTAAATAAATTTATAATATTTGGAAAGCGTCTGCAAAAGACTCAATCTATTCATATTTAAAATATATGCATTAGTCCTATACATCCATTCGCCAGCACTATATTGCAGGGTATATCGCTAACAGTGCACATAAATCACATACATGCTGAGTCCTATGAAAAGTTCCCAAAAAGACATCTCCTACATGATCTGCACAATAAATGTACTTTAGTTCGATATTCCCTCTCTCTAATGGCACACACATAATGCAGGGTATAACACTTTGTATCATTAGCAACAGTAACAATGTTAACTACCATCGCAACGGGCGTTATGCGTGTCTCGTTGCCCGTTACTCGTTGCTAGACAGCCACATGACGCCAACTATGATTCGCAGTTTGGGGCAACAACAATCACAGCCCAGCGGCGGCAGATGACGTCATCTGCTGCTGCTTGTGCTGCTGCCGGGCAACACCACCACCAACAATAACAAACAACATGAGTAAAGACCAAAAAAAAAAAGAAAGAAAACGAAATGAACTTTAAGCATAGAAAACAACAAAAGGCATATAAACAGCCAGAAGCCAAGCGACAAACTGTATACAAAAGGGGGGCAAAGGCGCTCACTGAGCACAACAGAGCAACAATACACCTGAGCTACAGCCCACCTGACTGACCCTAAAAATAACAGCAACAAGACCGAGAATAGCATTTATTGAAAATGTCAGCAATGTTTGCCTCAACAGGTGAGCGGCAGGCAGCAGTTAACGAAAATGCCAAACAATTTTCATTTCCTCTCATGTACAATATAAGACAAGTGACACACACACATACACACACACACACGAATATGTATTTGTATTTGTATTTGTGCTTATACGCTCTAGTATCAGCTGTTAAATAAATGATTATCGACCTCGAGCTTGATTTATTGGCTAAACGCAACCATTGAACTACAAATATTATATATACTAATATAATACACCAATACATATATACATACATATATGAATTGCTCATGCCTCCAAGTCATATTCATAATTGATATACCCCATGCGCTGGCCTGCGTGGCATATTAAGTGTCATTTGTTCGGTTGCATTTACCTGATTGCTTTGACAATATTTCGATTTAGATATGATCCACTCTTGTAATCAGACGAGCGACGCAATAATGCCTGATGTCATTTACGTTAATGCAGGCTGAAATTGCTTTACAACAACAAGCACAACAAGGCAGCAGCAACGGCATGACCCATACGCATTTCCGTATACCAATAAAAATGCTAATAAAAATTACATAGATACCCTATAAATATGAAGAGCGTGCTGTGGGGTATTTTAAATGCACACAAATAACAGTCTATAAATATAAGAGCATTTAGGTATTTTAAACGAGGGTAGTCTGATCAATTTGGAATTATATATTTTTATATACTAAATATTTTTAATACAAGACATTTTTTTAACGTAAAAAAAAAAATACAATTTTTTTTTAGCTTAATTGACGTAATATTTCTTTTCATTTTTAATGCCTTTTAAATATATTTTTAAACATTATAAATATATAATATGTTTTATAGTATACCTTCAACAATTTAGATAATGGGAAAAAAATTATTTAATCCTAATTTATTATCAATTTGTAGTTTCTTTGACATATATTCATATATATTTTAAAGATAAATATTACTTATATTGTTTATTGTATATCTACATCAATTTAGACAATGAAAAAAATTTACCTGATTTATTAATACATTTTTTAGTTATTTTAGAGTTGTGTTTGTCTGTATAAAAATGTATAAAATATCTCTCTTCTCGATCTACAATACATAAATGCCAATAATTATTTAATGGGTATCCCTTAGTCAATTATTCCTTAATCTTCATTTGCTTTTCTTTACCTCAACTTGGCTAAAATCAAGTACAAAAGTCAATAAAAAGCGGAAGTCATTAAATTGGCAAAAATGCTGCTGCGTATTGACATTATTTGGCTAACGGTCATAAAATGTACCACATGCCACTCGCCACACGCCACACACCACACACCACACGCCACATGCCAGTTGCAGCGTTTGACAGCAGCCACAGTGCTCCTGGCTGGCAACGTTGCGTATGTGTGTTATTCGAGAGGGTCCTTGTGCGTGGCCAGGCGAAACTTTTAATGGGCAACCGAGCTGAATAATGCTTAAAAAGTTTCACGTTGACTGCCTAAAGTAGCCTAATTATAGCCATGTGTGGCAGCTAAACAGTGAACGACACTGAGATACCCTGTACTATGCTCTAGTTATATCTAAGAGTTATATAATATTTATTTTGATTCATTTGCCGTATCTTATATTAAATTACTTTTTTCAAACACTTTTCTAGCATTTTCCCTGGACATTGGCTTACATATATACCCTGCAAATTGACCGTACTAACAGAACTGGCTAAGAGCGAACGAAGCTTCTTTTGTGATACGCAATGAGATACAGAAAACTAACTGAATTTGAATTGTAAATTTTATTTTACTTATTTGTTGTTATATAATTTGCACATTTGTCATGTATATAAATTTTATTGTTGTTCTTTGTTTTAATGTAAAATTCTTGTTTAATTATAGACGCAAAGCAAAAACCAAATATACGCGTTTCATTTCGATAAATTTATGTTGCATAATTTTGGGGATGAGCAAAAATCGTATATTGGTTGGCTAATGATATCCATATTCCTTTTGACTTTGGCATTCTGAGAAACTTGGAATTCAGATCGCGAGAAAAACTGCAATTCATCTTTGTTCCAGCATTTTTACTTGACTTACAGAAAGACTCCTTTGTAATCCAAAAGCCAGTAGGACAACTGTGGTTGAGCGGCATTCAAGTATTTTGTGATCTCCAATTCCTATGCCTGAAACACACATAGTACAGCATATTTTGCCTGGAAGTTTCCTCCTTCTGGCATTGCTATTTCTGGTATTTTAGATAAATTGAATTAAAAAAAAAAAAACATTTTCAATGTGATTAACTTTTTATTTACATAATTTGTACAATTTTTTTTTTTTAATTTATCAAAATACAAATTAGAGTTATATTTTTAACATTTAAATTGCTATATCTGGGGTCAATATCAGTTGCTGTCAGATAACTATAGAACCAAGGATGCGGGCAAATCATTTATCCTGTCGAACCGCAAGGTAATGAATTTGTAATAGACTGAGCTGGTCAAAAGATTACAAATTCGTCCTTTGAGCTCTTGACTTATTAAGAATGCTGTGTGGCCGTTTTCTTTAGTCCTGAAACGAACCACATTTTAAATTAATGTTTTATGGCAATAAGTAGATCCTTGTGATCCTAAAGCATCATGACATTTGCAAATGCAACAGAATATAACCAATGAAGAAATGATATCCAGTCCAGTTGATGCAACACTCGCCAGTTGATTTACCTGCAGCAACTTAATTTAATATTCGCATGTTAAACCTGTACAAAGATATACATATATCTGTTACACCTTTCCCGTTTGTGGAGCTGCTGGAATTCGGCTCCCATGCGCTCAACTTGCATAAATAACGTTTCCATTAGGTTTTCAAGCATGTTTGCTTAATTATTTACACTGGCGTCGTAAATATTCGAGCAGGTGTCACAAAACTAAAAAGTTGCGGCCAATTGTCATCCAATTGAATATTTATAATGCACCGCTGCTGCTCGGCGCCAGTTGTAAATAATTCCCCAACTGCCAGTTGCCTACTCCGGGGAGCGTTTAATGAGGGGGCAGCAAGCGAGCATATAGTAATTACTATAAGTATGTGTGGGCTAAAGCACGCCCCGCCCCACACACAGTGGCACTTCATTCGCTGCCCACTCCTTGCATTAAATTAATTAAAATGTGAAGCAACCAAAAAAGCAAATAGGAACTTTGCAGTCTCGTGCGCCACTGACTGCTTGATGCTCGCTCATGTGCTGAAAATGAAAAAGTTTACATAAAAGCCCTAATTTATAATATATTATGCCCTGCAGGGCAGCCTAGAGGAAATCCACGTTCAACTATAGCGAAAGCTTTTTAGACTTACATAGCCGTAAAGCTATAAATAACTGCTCAGATTGCCACGCCCCTATTGCCCCTATTGCTGTTTATGCTATTTTAATTTTCAATTTTTCTCCCTACATAATACTCTTCACTTTAGCTGTCAAATATTTATACAGAGAATTCCATTGTTCACGCTTTCTCTTATGCAGCAAACTAATATACTCCTTTTGCTTAGTGAGCGTGCAGCAGCAGAGCTCTTTGTTACTGCTGCTGTTTGTTTGTAGAAGCGCTTAGAAATAATTAAACGTTGTTTTGGCTGTTGCCTATGTACAAAATCTGACGCTACATTACTCCAGCCCTCCGCTTGGCCTTGAGGGCAGCTGATATACATAAATATAAATATATAGACATAAGTGTATGTACATATATCTATAAATATACATTTTGTGCTATATGTTTATCATAATTCTGTGTTTGATTTTTCACAAAAAATCATTCATAACAGCTATTGCCAGCGGGCTCTTAAGTGCGAGTGCGGCGGCTGAGCTGAAGCTTTTTCCTTGTTGAGTGCGTAAAGCTACGCTACGCAACACGCACACAAACAGCCCTTTACACACACACACACCCACATATATATAACTATATCAGCGCCTTCATTTGCATTTTATGAGCGCCCTCTCCAATTTGCGATGCAGCAGCAGCAGCAGCAGCAGCAGCAGCAGCGCAGCATTCGGCATTAATAATGCAACAGCCAACGCCGCAGTAATATCACCAACACTCACACACTCACACACCCATACACAAACAGATACAATCGCGCCTTGCGCTTCCATTCAATGCCAAACAATAAACACACTCACACCCACCCACACACACACAGACAGCGCCTAACTAGTCAACATTGTTATTCTTCCCCCGTGTGTGAGTGTGTTTTCGCTGCCCGCCTATAGATGGCGCTCGCAACTGGCAAGCGCTGAGCTTGTGCGCGCAATTCACACAATCCGCTGTGGCAGTCTTTTAGGAGCACTGCTACTGTGAGGTTCGTGGCGCAACGCGTGGCGCCTCGCGCAGTTCTTCGTTTTGCACAACAAATCTAATTTTTTTGTTGCTGTCTTTGCCCTGCTCAAGTTATGCAAAATTTAATTTTCTCTATTTGCCTGAGCACGGGCAATTCGGCAGTGGTGCGGGCAGAACATGTGCTTGATCCACACATGCTTCGTTATTCACGGCGCGCCTGATGGAATTGCAACCCAAGTTGCACAAGAAGCAGCAGCAGCAGCAGCAGCAGAGGCATGCAACGTTCGCGCTGTGCCACAAGTTAAACAAAATCTTTCCAATTGCAGGTAAAGCAAATAGTTGCAGCTGTGCCGCCCTAGCCGACTGTGCAATGCCCTAAATTGTGTGGGTGTGTGTGGAAAGCAGGTTGAGATTAAAGTGCCTATAAAACTGTGTTTTTCAATGTGCAGCTGTCGAGGGAACTTAGAATAGAAAATAGCGTGTGGAAATATAGTTAAACTAAATAGTTGTAAACATATTTAAAATAAAATTAAATTAAAGTTAGTATAAACAGAATGTTTTTTTTTCTGTTTGCTCTGAAATTAGAAATGACAGCTATAACTATAGTTGTTGTGACTAAAGTCTCATAATGAGCTGTAAGTGATTTATATAAGTCAAAACCTGTGCGTGTTATCATCAAAGTGTGACTTAGATTGTGCTTCTCAAACTGTTGAGCAATCTTAGTAAATAGTTTTTTTTTTAATATTCAACTATATTTGTTGGCTCTCAAGTTTTACTACAGTTGTTCTAAAAGTAAGTTATAGACATATCATTTTATATAAGCTGATATGCCCACTTAAGTTTTGGTTGCAGTATATGAAACAAATGTGCGTGCTTTAAATTCCAAATTTAATATATGGCTCCAAAACTTATTCTTAGACCGTGATAATTCTTTAACTCAAAGTTTTACAGCATCTCAACGCATATACTCTATACAAATTTGTTTGAGTAGAGTATTCAATTTGCGAGTCGCTAAAAAATAACTAGACTACAGACTCTTTGCAGAGTTTCGTATGTGTGGCCCAGTTTTGTGTTAAATTATAAATAGCTAATATATCCTGTGCCTAGTTGATTACAGTCTTTGTCATTTTACAGCTTGATATATTGAACTTTGTTAAGCTGAAGGCCCGAGGGCTTCATTTAGTACATTTTTAATTTTTTATTAACTCGAATCTGTGAAAAATAATATATAAGTAAATTTTACAAAAATTCCTATTTAAATTTCTTGCTCTACAAATATGACTTCTTTATTTCTTGAATTTTCATGCACTTGAATAATATAATATAATAGATACCCTCTATGCTCTAGCTGCATATATAATATATAGCATAAACTTTCGAATGATTCCCTCGTGAATACTTCCTCTTGATCTACTGCACAGCTGACTCTCTAGTGTCTAACTAATATACCCATTTCAACTCTGCTGCAGCGTATGCAAGTGTTTGGGCTCGGTCGAAACTTTGCGATTCGGCGACTGTGATATAAGCCAGCTGCGGTTACTCGGCAAAGGCAAAAGAACACTGACCGCCTTTACTCTCACTCTCTCTCTCTCTCTCTCCACTCTCCCTCTCTCCTTCATTCTATCTAAATGATGTCATGCGGCAGCTGTATGCCGTTTTTAGTCGTATATGATTCGTGTGCCGAAACGCAACGCATTCAAAATTTTGTTGTTAAATCGATTCTTGAGTTGCTACGCACAGAAGCCTAACTCACCTTCTATCTCTCTCTCTCTCTCTCTCTCTTTCTCTTCCTTTCTCTCGCACAGCTCGCATTCACTACTTGGAGCGTGAGGAGCAGCGTCCGAGCAGCAGCAGCAGCCGCTTGGCCAACGAGGGCAGCATCGATGCCAGTGTAGCCAGCGCCTCGCCACCGAGTGGAGTTGGTGTCTCGCCACAGGGTTCGCCCCAGCTGCAGCAGCGCCTGGGCAAGCATCTGAGCAAGTCCGCTTCGGAGCTGAACGGACACGACTGCCATCACAGCAACGAGTCGCCGCATTTATCGCCGAAGCGAGCCAAGAGCGCCGCCTCCCCCCAGCAGCTCGTCGGCGGCGGCGTCAGTGGCAGCAGCAGCGTTGGGGGCGTGGCCAGCGGTGTAAGCGTGCTGCAGAAGACGCACGGCTTCTTCAACAACCTGAAGCATCGCTGGAGTCGAGCGAAGAGCAAAGATCGCATCGGTCGCAAGTCGCCCAGCGACTTTCTCGAGGAGAGCACCGACTATGCCGCCGACTACAGCTCGGAGAGCAGCTCCGTGACCCAGAGTCCACGACATCGAGCCACCACCATTGGTGGTTCGCCGTTGGCGCGCGACTTTCGTGCCACTGCCAAGATGGCGCAGGTGATTCAGCGCTTCGGCGGCTCCATGGAGGGCCGCATAGACGAGCAGCCCGAGAACGGGAATGCCCACAGCACGGCGACAACGGAGCAGCAGCAGCATCAACTCGAGGCGCTGCAGGTGAGTCTCAGTGCAAAGCTTTTTCTTATAATTTGATTTTGTTTTCTCTTTTTTCACTTTTGATTTGCAAATATTTCAATTGGATTTGTTTTTCTATTTCCACTAAAAACACGGCATTCATTGTCGCAATTCATTTGATGCTTTTTTCTGCAAAACTTGACGCACGCATAACGGCAAAATCTGCCGTTGATCGATAAACGATAACAATTGCAAAATTGCCCATCACTAACGACCACAACTGCAGGCCGACGAGCTGCGTCGCAAGCGGGAGACACAATTACGACAATTCGTCTTCTTTCAGCTGCGCGTCCACCTCAAATCCGGCTGCGACCTGGTGGCCATGGACAAAAACGGTAAGCCACGACCCACTCTGCCCTCTAGCCAAAGCAAAGGACTCGACAAGCCAAACATCAACACCAACACCAACACACACACACACACATAGACACCCACTCACACACGAAGCCTAGCTGAGCTACACTCCAACACGCCCTGTCTGTCAGTCACTTATGTTTCCTTTGTGTTTTCATCCGCGCATCAGGACTGAGTGATCCTTATGTGAAATTCAAGGTGGGCGGACGTCTGCTGCACAAGTCGCGCACCATCCACCGCGACCTCAATCCCGTGTGGGACGAGGTGTTCATCGTGCCCGTGGAGGACCCATTTCAGCCGATTATTGTGAAGGTAAGCCGAGCTGGACTAACCAACTGAAGGACTTTAACTGGGCCACAGTTGCATAAAGCATGAGCCTTAAGTAACAGGATTAAGAGTGTATTATAAAAACAAAGTACAGCTAGTTGGGTTGGTTTAAAACTTTCAGTGAAAAAAGTATTCGGGTAGAATTTAAAGTACACACTCATTGTCAAGTTTCTTGTTGAAATGAAGACCAAATTATTCTACATATATAAAATACCGATAATAAAAGAGGACTTACAGTAGGAAAAGAGAACAGCATTATGAATTATGAACCTATAAATATATTTACTATGCAGGTATAGGAATAATGTTTTGTTTAGAGAACATTAATATTTATGAAATCCTTAAGGCTAAATAAAAAGTAGATTTTCAGCTTTTAAATATACGAGTATATAAATAAATATATAGGAATATATAAGAAATATTTTACTAAAAATTACTGAAATATATATAACTAGGTTTCTTAACGGATAAAGTAAGAATTTAAAGTGAGCACTAAAACGACTTCTTTAATAAAATACCTGAGAGTTACAAATTGGTAAATTTTATTAATCTATTATTATACTTGCAAAAATAAATAAGGAATATAAATTGACAAATTATCAAATTAAAGAACTAACTAATAAAGCTTCAAGCTTCTAGCGAAAAACAACTTACAGACAATCCAACTCAATGCTAACAAAACAGCAATAGAAAATGGTAAATGGTAAATTATTACACAGCACAAAAATCAAAGCCCAATTTCCCAGTAGCATCAACAACAAGAAGCAACAAACAACAAACTAGGAAAATAATTGCCAGCATGACGTTCAATTTGGCGAATTGAATCGCATTTGATGCTCAGAGCAAAATCAGTTAACTGAAAATCAATCAAACGATTCCCCACAGGTCTTCGACTATGATTGGGGACTGCAGGATGATTTTATGGGCTCGGCGAAAATCGATCTCACTCAACTGGAGCTGGGCAAAGCGGAAGATATCAATCTGCAGCTGAGCGACACAACCAACGGCGAGCCGGGCCTCAGCATGGGCGAGATACTCATCAATTTGACGCTCTGGCCGCGCAGCCAGGAGGACAAGGAAATGGTAGGTGGCTGTCACAATAAATGCAATCAACAATTTGTACAGCGACAAGCAATTTGGCAAAGCCAACAAGTCCCAAGGTGAAAGTCAAGCATAAGATACAATGTATCTTAAAGATAGAGATATTACTGTTGCGATTGACAGGCCATGATTTGATTGAGCTATTGATATGGCTCCTCTCCCCTTTCCTCTGTTAGCTAATACTGTAATACATGTGTATTATCCACTCCTCCATTAAACCAAAGGTTTTGTATTGGGCGTACAAATACAACTACACAGACACATAGATCTATATATATATACAGATACAGAAACAGATACAGATACAGATACAGATACAGATACAGATACAGATAGAGATAGAGATAGAGATAGAGATAGAGATAGAGATACAGATACAGATACAGATACAGATACAGATACAGATACAGATACAGATACAGATACAGATACAGATACAGATACAGATACAGATACAGATACAGATACAGATACAGATACAGATACAGATACAGATACAGATACAGATACAGATACAGATACAGATACAGATACAGATACAGATACAGGTACAGATACAGATACAGATACAGATACAGATACAGATACAGATACAGATACAGATACAGATACAGATACAGATACAGATACAGATACAGATACAGATACAGATACAGATACAGATACAGATACAGATACAGATACAGATACAGATACAGATACAGATACAGATACAGATACAGATACAGATACAGATACAGATACAGATACAGATACAGATACAGATACAGATACAGATACAGATACAGATACAGATACAGATACAGATACAGATACAGATACAGATACAAATACACATACATATACAGATGCACAGATTGGCTTGATAATGTTCAATTTAAGCTACTTTCCACATTTCCCTTTCTCCAGTCATTCAATTTCGATAATCGAATCGAAAGTCTCACACATATAGCGCATACATTGCTCTATTAACACTGTCGCCCCGATTTAGCCACCGCTTGTAGCTCATCCATCAACATTTGGCCCACTTCCGGCCTTTCTCTTTGCGCCCATTCACTATTTACATAATCGTCACTTACCTTATTGTTCTGTCATTCTTTGGCAATCGAAACTCTCTTCAGATAGCGTGCAGATTTATGGCTCAAACTCTGAACTGTTGCCAAATTGCTCAATTAACAACCTCAAAGCTCGCTGAATAAGCGACTCAAACCACTCAAAGCACTCGTGTGGCTCTATTTACATGTGGGCGCTATGTGCTCAGCCACGACCTTCCACACCCTCTCACACATTAACTTTGCTTTGTTTCGCCTGCTTTGATCGCTGCCATTCGACGTCTCATTACAAGTAGACGTAAACCGCTCAACTTGAGCAACAAACAGCAACAACAACAACAACAAAACCAACAGCTAGCAATGACACAGGGAAAATACCCCGAATTGTTAAATGTGAACAGCAATAAAGCTGGCTGGTGGGGCTAGTCACACCATGTAAACAATTGTATACTCTAACATTGTGAATGCATACATACCTTTCCATGCGATTCTCAAGCATGACAGTCTAGTGAGTAAATAATAGAACAAGTTTTTTTTTCTTTCGATTTAGTGGTGTGTCTTCTATCTCCCTCCTTTTCTCTTGCTATCATTCTCTCTCTCTCTATATATATATCCCATTTCTTTGTTATTTTTCCACATTTTCGCCAATTTTCTCATGTTTTTCACTGTCTTTGTATATTGCATTTACTCCCCCTCGTTCCAGCTTCCTTGCTCTATTTTCTTTGACTCTTTCTCTCCCTCTCTTATCTTTGACTCTACTCATCTCTCTCCCTAACATTCTACCTCTCTTAGTATTTTTCTCATTAGCCTCATTTCAATTTTCATACCCCTGCTAGTCCGCTTAAATATATGTTGACCATCTATTACCTTTAGCATCCATTATATGTATGTTTTTTCTTCATTACCCAGCCAAAGGTTAGGTAACCCATTGGGCATACAAGTTTTTAAAGTTTGTGCTCGAAATTAATTATAGATACTACTCGTGCAATCCACACTCATAGGTCTGCTCAGTTAGGGGGGGGGGCAATTAGATTCATGGCACAAAGGTCGCTCGACAGCAATTAAAGACAGCCGCTGCTTATCAGCGACTCAGGCGGGCAGGCGAGCTGATAGGGTGTGTGCAGGGTGTATGCCTCAGTGTATATGCCCGCCACAAGGTTATCTCAGACTCGTGTGCCGAGAGAGCGTAAAGCTAAAGCCAATTGTTGCTTTAGTCATTGCGCGTTGCTTCGCTTGCGAAGTGGCACTGTGATTTAAGTTGTGCTTGGATTATGGATTGGCCTGGTCCCATTTACCGGGTTGCGCCGCGCATGTTGCTCAAGCTTCTGCGGCAGCAGCACAGCGAATTCCGCGAGCACCTAGAGCAGGGCTGCGAGGAAATAAAGGAGGTCAACTTGAAGCTTTACTCTGTTTGTAATTTGGTGTCTCAATTGTGATTTGTTTTCCATGTCGACTTACAGCACTTTCAGCGCAACTCCAAATTGGCTGAGTCATCGAAGCGACTTAAATCACAAATCTGGAGCTCCGTGGTGACAATACTGCTGGTCAAGGCCAAAGATCTGCCGCTAGCCGAAGACGGCAGCAAGCTCATTGACATACACTTTAAGTTTAGGTAAGTCCATAAAGATAATATGAGGAAAGTAGAAACCTTTTTGGGAATACCCTCCTTCAGGCTGGGCAACGAGAAGTACAAGAGCAAAACGTCATGGACGGAACGCTGGCTGGAGCAATTCGATTTGCATCTCTTCGACGAGGATCAGAACCTGGAGCTGGCCCTGTGGAATCGGAATACCCTCTACGGCAAGGCCAACATCGATCTGAGCGTCTTTCAGCGCGAGACTACGCATGGCATATGGAAGCCGCTGGAGGATTGCTCTGGCGAGGTCTTCCTCATGCTGACGATCAGTGGAACAACGGCTCTGGAGACAATTAGCGACCTGAAGGCCTTCAAAGAGGATCCGCGTGAGACGCAGCTGATCAGAGATCGCTACAGCTTCTGGCGCAGCCTGCAGAATCTGCGCGATGTCGGGCATCTGACAGTCAAAGTATTTGGCGCCACGGGACTGGCAGCTGCTGACATAGGCGGCAAATCGGATCCGTTTTGCGTGCTGGAGCTGGGCAATGCGCGACTGCAAACGCAGACGGAGTACAAGACGCTAACGCCCAACTGGAACAAGATCTTTACCTTGTAGGTCGCCAGCTGGAGAAGTTTTCTTGATTATCGTTTGACTATTTTCTGTCTTTAGCAACGTCAAAGACATCACTCAAGTGCTGGAGATCACAGTTTACGATGAGGATCGCGATCATCGTGTCGAGTTCCTGGGCAAACTTGTGATCCCTCTGCTGCGCATCAAGAGCGGCGTCAAGCGCTGGTATACGCTGAAGGACAAGAATCTGTGTGTGCGTGCCAAGGGCAACTCCCCACAAATACAACTCGAGCTGACTGTGGTCTGGAACGAGGTGCGAGCCGTTTGTCGCGCTCTGCAGCCGAAGGAGGAGAAACTCATCCAGCAGGAGGCGAAGTTCAAGCGGCAACTCTTCCTGCGCAACGTGAATCGCCTCAAGGCGATCATTATGGATATACTGGAGGCAGCACGCTACGTTCAGTGAGTAGATTCAAGTAGATTGATACTCAATGGAGATCTTTAGCTGATCGTCTCCCCTCTGCTCATTCTCCTTCTGCAGAAGCTGCTTTGAGTGGGAGTCCCCGGTGCGTTCTAGCATTGCCTTTGTGCTCTGGATCGTCGGCTGTGTCTACGGCGATCTGGAGACTGTGCCGCTCGTGCTGCTGCTCATCATATTGAAGTAGGTGGCACACAATGCCCAATGCCTTGGCTAGAGTCCTAACTGTATTGCCTTCACAGAAAGTGGCTCATACGCTTGATAACGGGCACCACGGATGCCAATGCGGGTCACTATGATTACGACTACGATGAGGATGACGACGACGACAAGGAGAAGGAGGAGAAGAAGTCAATTAAAGAGCGCCTTCAGGCCATACAGGAGGTCTCACAGACCGTACAAAATACGATCGGATATTTAGCCTCACTAGCCGAGAGCACCATCAAGTGAGTCCGGTCTATGAAGTAATATCCCATTGCTGATATCTTTCTGCTTCGCCAGCACATTTAACTTTTCCGTCCCCGAGTTGACCTGGCTGGCGGTGGTGCTGCTGCTGGGCGCGATCCTTGTGCTGCATTTCGTGCCGCTGCGCTGGCTGCTGCTCTTCTGGGGCCTCATGAAGTTCTCCCGACGCATTTTGCGTCCCAACACGATACCAAACAACGAGCTGCTCGACTTTCTGTCTCGTGTGCCCGACAACGAGGAGATTGTAAGCACTTTACATATATCCAAATTATATAAAGTCACAACTCTCTCTCTTCCTCCCTCTCCCTCTGTCTTCTTGCAGAATCAATATAGGGAGCTGCCGCCATCGGCTGCCACAGATCTGGCACGAAATAATCCCAAAAAGAAATTGAAGGGCTCATAGTCTATAACCAGCGCTGATGCGGTAATTGGGCCGCTGCAGCACAGCGCATCTGGTACACAGCATTTGATGCAGCGCTTCCGCGCCAACACCAGCCAACTGAAGCACAAATTTAGCCAGGCCAAGAGCCATAGTCTAAGCCAGGGCGATTAGCCGTTTAGTCCATTAGCAAGTATTCCATTGATGGCACAAGAATCCAAGACGCAACTTTAACTAAATGCACCAAACGTTTTTATGCTTAACTTAAGTACTTAAACAACCAGACAAACAAAATAACAAGTAAGAGCTTCAACAGTCGGCTCGCCTCGACTGTGCCATACTCGTTCACAGTTTATTAGTATTGAGAGGATGAGCTCGTTAGTAATATTCATTCCAAATATTGCTTAATCAAGTTGTTCTTAACCAGTGGCAGATTAACTTATCCGATTAGGTATACTACCCCAGTAGGCATAACACCGTCTCGGCTATATATATATCTGAAGCTTTATGTGTTAATCAGGCTTAACTTGCAAATGAAAAACTCTTCTTATATACCGAACCAGCATTATAAAACTAATATGCTCTCTTTAGCTTCATAACCCAAGTTACTAAACGAGCATATGAAAACCAATATACCTCTTTTGCACTTTCTGAACAAGCATAACATAACTAATACACCCCAATTTAACGCTATAAACAAGCATAACAATTCTAATATACTACACTAACTTTTCTATATCAGCATATCAAAGCCAATACACCCCATTTTTTAACTCTTAAGCAAACATAATGAAATAGAGCCAAGCTAATATATTATTGATAATATTATTAATATTATTGATAATGTGAACGAGTATTTAAATTCAATTCAGGCAGTTTAATCTCGCTTTCTCTCTCTAACTCAGTTCAAAATCGAATCAAACTATTTACACAACTTTTAATATAAATACACTGAGCGAAACGATTTGTTCTGCAGTGTTGTAAATACACCGAAAGCATATTGAACTTTACCTAAATACTATATATGCCCCGAGTATATATAGCACAAACATATATAGAACCAGTGCGTGTACCTAAAATTATTTTTAAACATCTATGTGTATTTACCAAAAAGAAGAACAAGAAGATAATAACGATCAAGAAGAAGAAGCAGAAATCTACCAAAACAAAATGCTAACCGAGCAATTCCTTTGCAATCGTATAAATATTAAATTTAATTATTTATTGTATATTTCAATTTGTGATATTTTTCAAAGAATTGCAACTAGACGTACTATGTGGCTTATCCAAAAAAAAAAAAAAAAAAGATTTAAATATATATATATATACATACAGATATCTGAATACCTTTACTTTTGAAGTTACCCTACGATATGTATTTATATATATACTTTATATACATATATGTATTTCATTGGCCCTTGATTTAATTTAAGGCTTTTTATATGCATACCTAATGCATATATACATATATATATATATTATATACTACAACTAACTAACCATATGGCTGCAACTATTCAATTAATTATTGTAATTAACTCATCTAACAAGAACTACCTAATTAAATCTGTGTGTGTATAGCGCGGATGCCATATGAATTGCAATCCACAAAAAAAGAAAAAGCAAAAACCAAATCAATTAGATAGTCAAAAACTATTTTATATTCCCGCAACAAGCAACGTTTTTTACATATACAAATCCAAATTAATTAATTGATTTAATTATTAATTAAATAGCACCTAAGTTAAGTTTGTTAATTATTTTTCAAAAATATGACAACCAAATATTTTTAAAAAAAATACAAAATATTTTTGGATTTCGCTCAAAAACTAAGCAGAGTAAAAGCTTTTTGGAATTTGATTTACGCGCCTCTCAAACTATTAGCTGGTTGGGTCACTCTCAAACTGTGAGCTTTTCGCTTACATTGTTTTGTATTTTCGTTTGTTTTGCTCAAATTTCTGTTTACTTGGAAAAGCTTCAAATTACGTTCAGTTTTATTTATATTTTCTATTAATTAATTAGAAACACATGTTTGGCCACTGGAAGTGCGTAAGCTTTCAATGCGTGCTGGAAACCAATTGTTTGAGCATAAATTAAAACCTACTAGAATCCAATTAGATTAAAGTAGTCATATTCTCATATGCTTATCAGACCGGAATTCCACTTGAACTTGGCAGCTGTTATGCAATCGGGCAAAAATCAAATTAGATAAACAGACTTCTGTATATAAATACAACTTTAGTGTATATTTTTAGCAAATATATATATCAATATAAGAAGGAAGCCTTAAAAGTCGCCAGCACATCGAAACCCCAATTGGGATTTTAACATAATGCGCAATAAATGCAAAACTGGATGTTGTACGGAAGTCCAATAAGAGATGCCACCCGCGTGGCAATCAGATTAGTTATTCTCGTTCTTCATGAAGTCATAGACGATGGAGAAGTCCTTGCTGCCCAATCCCTTGGACTTGAGTGTGCGGTAGATCTGATGGGCCAGAGCACCCATTGGAATGGGCGTGTTGGAGGAGGTGGCCACACCGGAAGCCAAGCCCAGATCCTTGGTGATCAGGTCCGTGGAGAAGCCACCCTTGTAGGAGTTGTTGGCCGGGGCAGTGGGAGTTACGCCGGGCACGGGATTGTACAGCTCGGAGGCCCAGCAGCGGCCAGTGGACGAGTTGATAATCTCAGCGAAAGTCTTGGGATTCAGGCCCAAGCGGATGGCCAGATTCATGGCCTCGGACACGCCAATCATGGAAATGGCCAGCATCATGTTGTTGGCCAATTTGGCAGCCTGACCCATGCCATAGTCACCGCAGTGGGTGATGCGCTTGCCCATGCACTCGAGCACAGATTTGACGGCATTGTACTCCGCCTCAGTGCCGCCCACCATGAAGGTCAACGTGGCCTGCTCGGCACCGGGAACACCGCCAGAGACGGGAGCATCAATGAAGCGAGCGCCCTTGGCGCTGATGCGCTTCTGCAGGGACTTGACGAGCGTGGGATCGATCGTGGAGGAGTCAATGAAGATGGTGTTCTTGTTGACGCCATTGGCGGTCATCTCCTCGTACGAGGCATCCACAATGTCATTGTTGGGCAGCATGGTGAACAAGAAGTCCACATTCTGCGCCAACTCAGCGGTCTTCGAGTAGACGGTGGCGCCCTTGGCCTTGAGGTTATCGCACGCTGGCTTCGAGATATCGAAGACATGGAGCTTGTGGCCGGCCTTGATCAAATTGCTGGCCATGTGGCCGCCCATGTTGCCCAGACCGACAAAGCCGATGTTCTTGGAGCCACCCTGGGTGGACATGCCACGGATCAGGGTCTGGCTCCAGGCATTCAGAACGGACTGTGACACAATGCGTAGCGACATGATAAAGACTGTCTGTGGAAGATTTTATAGTTATGTAAGAGTTTGCACTATATCTGCCCCCCCGCCTCCCTTTGCTTTTCAAGAACACACCCACCTGTATTAAGCTCGAGGCGCACAACAAGAAATAGCTGCTAAAAAAGTTCTACACGATCGGACCACTGCCAAAAGCACACTGAGCACACACTCGCATCAACCGGTCGACGTTGGCTGGTCACGTAATGCGGCTTCTTTCCAGTGTTCAGGCTTGCCAACGTTGCGACAAATGCGGAGCAAAACCGCCTACTCAACTGGTTTAGGCGTGCTGGCAACTCTGCAAGATCAGCTTACTCGCTCTCACTCTCCCGTTCTCCCGTTCTCCCGTTCTGCCGCTCTCCAACTCTGACTCTCAGCATTTCCAGCTTGTTAGCTTTGACTCTCTCGCACTGGAAGTTTATTTTTATTTATTATTCTATTAGCGAGGCACACACGCGCTGGCGACTTATCTAGCGTCTACGCAGACATCGTCTGATGCTTGTGGGCATGGCATAAAGTGGGCGTGTGTGTGTTTGCGTGTTTATACTCTGCATATGTGTAGATGCGAAAGCTGCGCAGTCAGCGCTGCTCAAACTGTGCGCAGCTTTTATGTCGCTTGGCAGCAGCTGATAGTATTTTTTTTCTCCTCCTCCAATTCCTCCAATTATAATGTTTTTATTTATTTATATATTGCTGTTGTGATTTTGGCTTATCTTGCTGCCCATTCCAACTAGTTCATTTTATCAATTGAACTTGAACCAATTCGTTTTGTTTATCTTTTCTGCGTTGCTCTCGCTATTATTCCATTCCATTCTGTTGTTTTTTCTCTGCTTTTGTCCAATTGCGGCAAATATCGTGCATAACTGTAAACGCACGCGAAATTTCCAAATCTATTTGTACGCCCCACTCACTTTCGTTGCCAATATGCGCCCTTCATGATTTGCCCAATTGTTGTTTGTTTGCAAAACTTAAGCAAAAATATAGTTATAAATAGAAATACCAAATTTCGCATATCATATTTCATATCTTCGTTGATAACTTTCCCACCGAATGCCGGGATCACTTAACTGTTGTCGATGATGTTGTTGTTGTTGTTGTTGTTTTGTCAGTCGTTTTGGCATGCATGAAATTGCAACTGGGTCTGCGTTTCGCAAATTTCGACCATTTTCTGTGCTGCTTATGCAACGATAACGTCGCAGTCGCAGTCGCTGCTGACGTCGCTGCTGGCGTCGCTATGCTTTCGTTATAGTGCAGAGAACCTGCTTGCAGCGAGGAGTCTGCCACTGAGCCGATCTGGCAATTACTTTGTCATCATTTTACTGATATCTGTGTCAGAGCGTCTGCAGCATCATGTGTAAGCGTATGTGTGGGCAGTTTATCGCGGCCTAAGTGCGTTCCGATTGAGGTGTGTTGCGGGCTAGAGCAGACAGCAAATCACATAACGAGGACATCTGCTCAACGTTTCAATAATAATAGAAATCACTTTACATAAGAGCTGAGCACTTGTCAAACAGTTGACAACAACAACAACAACAACAACTGCAACAACAACAGCAACAACAGCCACAACACCTTCTTATCTAACAGCGTATGATTAACATTAACAACAACAACAACAGCAACATTAGCAACAACAACATTAAACAACGCCAAACAACAACATTCACATTAACATCAACATCAACGGCTACAACAACAGCAAATGACCGAGTGAGAGCGCGTTTTTAAACAATTTACACCAAACAAACAGCAACAATTAAAATATGTTTGCAACAGACAAGCAACGACTAGCAAATACTCTGTAAAATTGTAGAACAACGAAAAGCAGTTCAAGAATATTCAAAATTTCTTACTAAGAAATTATAGAAAAAATTTTAAATTAAAATTGAACAGAAACTAAAAGCAAAGTATTTCGCTTTCAGTTATAATAAATGAGTGAATAAATTATCAAACTATATTTATGGAAATTATTGTAGGAAATACTTCAAAATACTTGAATAAATTAAATTAGTAAAATAAAATAAAATTAGTAATTAAATAGTAAAATTAATAAAATATTAGTAGAGCAATAAACAGTACCAGAGCAGAAAGAGTTCTTTCAGCATATCAAGATCTTTGCACACTTTTAACAAATAATAAAATATGTAATCAAAGTTGTCTTCAATTCCAGTCTTATATACACTAACAGAATATACATTCAGCAATTCACTTAAAACAAAGAGCTCTTCCGCTCTTCTATCTATATAATCAACCTTCAGTTCCGCATGCCCCACACTATTACAGGGTATACATGTACATTTAACAAAAGCACCTCATTATAGCATACAGAAACCCATGAGCATGAAGTGGGTTGCCATATGAGCACAGCAACAGGCAGCGCCTGTGCTCCACATTATAGATCGCATCGGATCGCGACGCATCGCGTATACGCCACGTAGTGCGCTGCTCATTAGGCGAGTCCGAGCGAGTGGCTAGCCGTACTTGTTGTTCGTAATGATATTTTATTGTAACTGTTGTTGTTGCTAATTTCCATGCAACAATAATGTCAAAACCGATGCTTATGGAGCAGCAAACAAATTTCACTCGCATAGCCAAAGGCAGC